AAGACAAGCTGAAAAATGAATGCATCTAGTTTTCACCAATGCCCTGAATTTTTACAGCTCATCCACAGAAAAAGCTTCATAACGGTTTTCCCAAGTCAGACATCAATCATAAAATATATTTATAATGAATTGTAAAGCTGAAACACTTTTAAATAGCCACAATTTTTTGAAAACAAAAAATTTGACCATCCACATTAAAGACTAAATTAAAAAAGTTCTCTATAGAAAATTACAATATTGTTATCATATGAAGATATGATCAGAGGGTACGCAGCCAAAGAATTGGCAAACAATTTTATAGCTATGTCAGTCAGCTTATTAATAAAAAATATCATGGCATGTCCCAGATTTTTGGTGTTTTTGAGTATAGAAGATTTTGTTTCCCAGAGACAGTCACCATAGTTGTCTCCCGCCCAGATGCTGTTGTTATAAGGTGATTGACACACCACCCATTGAGAGGTGGCATCTATTTCCCTCTCCTTGAACCTGAGCAGACTTGTGACCATGGCTGAAAGGGATGTTGTAGTAGGCAGAATAAAAGTTTCCCAAGAATGTCCACATCCTACTCCAACAACTGTGACTATGTTAATGTTACCTGGCAAGAGGGAATTGAGGTAGCCAATCAGATGACCTTCAGGTGGTGAGAATACCCTGGATAATCCACATATGCCCAATGTAATCACCACGGTCCTTCTAAGTGGGAGGGAGAGGCAGGAGAGTCAGAGCTGGGAGAGATGTCAAGATGCCACGATGATGGCTTTGATGATGGAGTATGGGGCCACCAGCCAAGGAATGCAAGTGGCCTCTGGACACTGGAGAAGGCAGGGAAATGTCTTCTCTCTAGAGCCTTCAGAAGGAATGCAGCCCTGCTGACACCTGATTTTTAGCCCAGTGACCTCTAGAACTATAAGGTAGTAACTGTGTGTTGGTGTGAGCCCCTAAATTTGTGGTAATTTTTTATAGCAGCAATGCAAAACTAATACAGATGCTATATGACTGCCATGGCTGTTTCCAAAAAGGAGATACAGGGCCAGGCGCAGTGGCTCATGCCTGTAATCCAAGCACTCTGGGAGGCTGAGGTGGGAGGATCACTTGAGGTCAGGAGTTCGAGACCAGCCTGAGCAAGAGTGAGACCCCGTCTCTACTAAAAAAAAAAAAGAAAGAAATTACTTGGCCAACTAAAAATATATAGAAAAAATTAGCCAGGCATGGTGGTGCATGCCTGTAGTCCCAGCTACTCGGGAGGCTGAGGCAGGAGGATCACCTGAACCCAGGAGATGGAGGTTGCTGTGAGCAAGGCTGACGCCAGGGCACTCTAGCCCAGGCAACAGAGTGAGACTCTGTCTCAAAAAAAAAAAAAAAATGTTCAGGGAAGTCTAAGTATAAATCATTCAGAGAAGCACTGCAGAAACCCCTTGGGAATGCCTTCTTTTCTTTTTAAGTTTAAATGGTTTGAAGTACACCTCTCAGGAGTCAAAGATTCACTGAATGTTGGCCTTGTTCCTGTGCTCTCTGCTCATCACCTGTTCTGTGCTCACCTTCCAGTCCAGTCTCATATGTCACTGGGGACAACAGGCTCTGTATCGGGATTTCATGGGGTTACTGGGGACAGGGCATCACCCAACTCCACTGCACCCCTATCACTGTGCTGCAGAAGATCAAATATTCTTAAAAATAAATTCCCTCAAAGTTATTCTTGGGGGCTGCCAGCTTTCTGATTTCCTCGTTTTGTATGTGTACATGTTATAGGAAAGTTGCCCTCAAGAAAGCACAGGGTATAATCACAGACATCAGTTAATAAAAAAAAAAAAAAAAAAAAAAAAAAGCACAGGAAAGGCTCAAAGGCAGCTAATGGGTAGAGTCTGACTAGCCTACAGGGAGTAATGTCTTTTTCATAAATAACACCTTCAGCTGTACTGACGTAAGTCAAGGTGATCAGGACAAATAGAATCTGAAGAAGGGCTGTTGTTAAAAGAAAAAAAAAGGTTATATTGGCTAGGCGCCATGGCTCACGCCTGTAATCCTAACTCTCTGGCAAGCAGAGGCGGGCCAATCGCTTAAGGTCAGGAGTTCGAAACCACCCTGAGCAAGAGCGAGACCCTGTCTCTACTAAAAATAGAAATAAATTAATTAGCTAACTAAAATATATAGAAAAAATTAGCCGGGCATGGTGGTGCATGCCTGTAGTCCCAGCTACTCAGGGAGGCTGAGGCAGGAGGATCGCTTGAGCCCAGCAGTTTGAGGTTGCTGTGGGCTAGGCTGATGCCATGGCACTGTAGCCTGAGCAACAGAGTAAGGCTCTGTCTCAAAATAAAATAAAATAAAATAAAATAAAAAAGATATATTAACAAACAGCAAAAAATCAGCAGAGAAACCTGCATAAACCACCCTTCCTCCCCCCATAGCATCTTTGTTAAAAGGAGGTCTTTTGAAAAACAGAATGATGTAACTACTGGACTAATATTTTTAAGGATTGCTTTCCTTTAACCTTAGATAAGTGGACTAAAGTGGATAAAGGGCTCCATCTTGGACAACTTAATCAGCTTTTCTTGTGCTGAGCAGGGGCCAGCCAAGAGTAGGAAATTCAACACCGTTCACAAAGCTTTCTTGTCTTACTCTCAAGAGAACTGTTTCATACCATTCAAGAGGCTGCCTGTAAAAAGACACACAAAATACCAGGTACAAAATATCATATAGTACACATTTTGTAAGACTTTGTAAGATTTAGTGATCTAAGGAAAGGACAATTTCTAGGTTTCTTCCTTTTTGTCTTATATAGTGCCATTTAAAAAATCTTCTACCACATCATTTCACATTTCCTCTTTCATATCACTTATGTTATGACTTTCGTTCCTTTTCTACTTTTGGCTTCTAACTTGTTAAAAAGTAAAGTCCCCAGTCTCTTTCATGTTTTGGTCACAGACTCCCCTTTTTCTCTGCTGCTGGATGTTTTGGTCAGCTGCTTTCTGTATCTCCATAGCCTGTCCATGGAGCCTCTTTACACTCTCTATACAATGAGCTGTCATCTGTGTGCAATTTTACTCTTAGCTCTATTCTCCAAGTTAGCTGCAATTTCCAGCAAGATGATTATATTGAATAAAAGTAATTGTTTAAATAATGTTTGAAAGATCCAACTGTATTGCATAAAATTATATGACCTGTAAATCATTTAAAAACAATGTGCTAATTTTATTTTCCAAAACCCTCAACAAAACCACACCTCTCTGAAATAAGAGGATTAGATCTCTGGGCTCCAGACTGATGTCTGTGTTTAGTCCTAGCTAATAGGCAAAGGGACTTTTTTCTAAAATTTCTTAGCTGCTCTGGAAAGCAGAGAGAGCTGCCGTTAAAGCTATGATATTTGCCTCCCCATATTTCACAAGTAAAAAAATTTCATAGAAAACACACAAAAGAGCAGAAAAGAGAAATCTGTTCCCAGGGGCTGAACTCTTCAATGTGCTATTTACTAATTTAGGAGCCAGAAAGTAAACAAACCATGTTTGTTCTGAAAGGCCCAAACTAGCCTAAAGGCCCAAACTAGCCTAAAGGCCCAAACTAGCCTAACCAGCTTTTCGCTTCTGTAACTATGCTTGCTCTTAGGTAATTAAGACCCCTACCCCTCCCTTTTTCTTTCTTTTTTTCCATAAGTGTCAGTTGCAAGTTCTCAAAATTGGGTAGTGGTCGTGCAACTGGTTGTGCAAGATAGAGCTACTAAAATTTCCCCACCCTAAACTTCCCGGCCACCTGCGTGTGGTCTCGCACCATAAAAGCCCTAAGCTTGAAAGCTTCGGGCGGCAGCTTCCTCATCTCGGTAATGCTGCTAGCCCCTGCGCTGCGCTAGAAATAAATCCTCTTGCTCTCTTGCATCAAGCCTCTAGACTCTGAGTCTTTTTGGGCAGTCGTCTCTCTCCCAAACGGGCTGTACATTTCTATGGCCCAACAGTTCCAGGCGAGTCAACTACACCCCTCAGTGATATTCCCTGTGAAAGTTTCTTGGCCTAAGGCACCTGGTCTGTTTGCTTTTTGCCCCACCTAGAGAGAGGTGTCACCAATAATGACAACGCTAATTATAATGGACAATAAATGATAATGACCATGCACCGAGAAGCCCTGGGAGTCTTCATTAAAACAACAGCACAAACTACAACCTCTGGAGGCATGCTATTATAATTACTAAGATGTTTATGCACCCTCATCAACGTGCAAAGTTTTTTTATTAGAAAGTCCCTCCTTTGAATTTTCAATTATGGAAACACCCCAAGGCTCACAAAAGTAGAAAGAATAGTATGAGGAACCCTGGTATCCCCACCACCCAGCCTCAACTTGAGACTCTCAACTTTTTGTTCATCTTGTTTCATCTAATCTCCATTTTTTTCCCTCTTGGATTGGAACATTTTAAAACAAATAACCAAAACACGTAGCATTTATGACTATTTTCGGAATGCACCCCAAAAATGTCAGAATAATTTCATTGGTTATATTTCAAAATGGACCTGCAGGACAAAAAAAGGAAGGACCGTAGAAGACTCTCCAGTGGCGGACGGGGTTACCACAGAGGGAGGTCACAGCTGTTCGCGCTCTTAGGAGTGAAGCGAGCTGGGCAGCGTCCCCCCGCCCCAGGCAGGCAGCGGCCGTGACGCACGGGACAGACCCAGGGACACTGACCCGGACGCCTGCAAAGCCGCCAACCAACGCATGCGCAACGCAGATGCCAGAGTTGCTAAGGCCCCAAGGAAGACAGGAGGCGCCGACACGGTGAAAGCCAATCAGAGAGCTCGAAGTCTAAATCAGTTAGCCAATGCAGATTCGAGAGTGAATCACGTCCTCCGCACTCGGCTCACCCCACCCCGTATCCAATCAGAGGGCCGGCTGCTTTGGGCGGACTTTTTAAAACAGCGAAAACAAAACAAATCGGGAACCTTTAAAAGTTGCAATGCAACCAGAAACGGTCTCCTTCCGCCCCTCAACCCTCTCACCGCCCCCCACCCCCCGCAAGCCCTCCCGCTCCGGGTCAATCGCTGAATCAGTCCGACGCCTAGGTTGCACCCTGCGTCCTGGAACCTGGCGGGAGGACAAGCTCGGCCAAGCCGATACAGCCACCAGAGGGACTGGAAACAGCGGCGGGGGCCGGGCGGGACTCTTTTTCGAAGGCCGCAGAGGCCGCGAGAGATCCCTCCGCGGAGAGTCACGTGCCCCGCCCCCTTAGGGGCGTCGAAAACGCAAAACAAAAACGGGGGTTGCGCTCCGGCCTCCGCTGGGCGCTGAGGCGGCGGCCGGGCTGTGAGGGGCAGGCCTCGGGGGTCAGCGCGCGCCCCTGTGGACGGCTGGCACGGGGGGCGGGATGGCGCCGGGGCTGTGAGGCCGCAGTGGCGGTGGCGGCGGGGAGGAGGAAGAAGGGTCGGATGCGAGTCCGCGGGCCGCGCTGAGGCGGCGGGTCCCCGACCTCGGAAGCCCCCGCCGCGCCCAGGCCCCGCGGGCCGGTGGCGGCGCGTCTCCGGCACGGTGAGGGCCTCGCCGGGCTCGCCCCGGGCTGCTTTGTTCGTGGTCGGGACTGCGGGAGGAGCCGCCCCTCGCTCTCGGAGCTCGGCCCTCAGCCCCGGCCCTGAGGGAGTCGGCGGCCGAGGGACGCTGGAGGGAGGACGGGGCGACGCGGCTGAGGGCCATTCTCCGCCTCGGTGTCTCGGTGTCCTCCTGCCTCGTTCTCTCTCGGGGTCGCCGCCAGGGCCGTGCATTTTGCACCGACAGCTCCGGGGCGCCGCAGAGTCGCGGAGCCGGGGCGTGCGCGGGGGACGAGTGTCGCCCGGGTTCCGTCCCCCGACCCCGCCGCTCTGTCGCACTGTGGTGTCGGCCGCCCTGGACCTCCCGGAGCAGGCGCCGGGGACGGCTCGAGGCCTGCACTGGAGCGACAGGGGCTCCTGGAAGAACTGGGCCCGCGGCGGGGCGGGGCCGGAGTCTCCTCCCTCGGGTTCTTTGTTCGGTCGCGAGCCCTCCCCTCCCGCGTGGTGCAGCTCCGCACCCCAGTAACTCTGCAGCCGGGCAGTCCCCAGGGCGCGCGTCCCTCCTCGGGCGACTTCAGGGGTGGCGGACGGTGGGACACCGACGCCCGCGGGCAGTTTCCTGTTTGTGAACCGGCTGGCTGGTGTGGCCACGGCCCCTCCCCCTGCCACACCTCCTGGACCGTGAGGAGGACTGCCCTGGGGCTCTGGCGGACGTGACCGGTCCTCTTACCCGCTCCTCGCCGAGGTGTGCGGAGACGCGCTGGGCCGCCCCTGCCTGGACGTGTTGGCTCCAGGCTTTTTTTTTCTGCCCTCCTTCTCCTTCCCCGGCACCCTCGGGTTGCATTCTGTGCGTTGTCTTTGCTGCAGATGAAGGATCTGGGGGCAGAGCGCTTGGCAGAGCGTGAAGGGGTCCAGCTCCTGGGATTGCTGACCCTCTACCTGGAGCAAGAACAGAGATTCCAACCTCGAGAGAAAGGGTTGAGCTTGATCGAGGCTACCCCGGAGGTGAGATGGCGGAAAAAAATAATTTGCTCAAGCAGCTGATGGGGCTTGGAGGAGAGAACTTTTTTTTTTTAACCCCAATGGAATCATGACCAAAGACTGCGAAGTTTAAGACCAGAATTGGTGTCACTGGAGTATCAAGATAAATGTTATTACAGGGTCATGCTTTTGTTTCCCAGCAAGAATGAGAGTAGTGATACTTATTCTTCCAATGTAGCATCCCCAGCCTGCAGCTTCTGGGTGGGAGACTCCTTGTGAATCGAGCAGTTCCTTTGTGGAAATTCCTCTGCTTGTGGAATATTTATTTGTAATAGGATTTTAAATGATTTTTAGAAAAACAAAAGCAAACAAGGAAGGCTCTATCTTCATTCTAAAGAAATTGAATTGTATTTGCTATAACCCTTTGGAATGTGGCAAAGGTTCACCTTATATTGAATTGCTGAAGTGCTTTTATGTGAATTTTTTAAAAGCAAAGATTTCCATGTGATAAAAGTGTGTATCTTAAGTGATTACCACTCTTCTCACCTATATTCCTGAAGATTAAGGCAAAAAATAAAATGATCTTATTTGAATATGTATTATTCTAGAATATGTATTCGTCTAGTTCTAAGAAAATTGTAAACGTTGGCTCTTGGTTTTCATTGCAGAATGACAACAGTTTATGTCCAAGATTGAGAAATGCCAAAGTAGAAGATTTAAGGAGTTTAACTAACTTTTTTGGATCTTGCACTGAAACTTTTGTCTTGGCTGTCAATATTTTGGACAGATTCTTGGCTCTTATGAAGGTATTCAATCATTTTTTCATTAGTACATCTTCATTTTTCATGCCCAGTGCTTAGTACACAAGGGGATCAATAAATATTGAGTGAGTGTAATAATGCCCACATATTTATAACAATCAGAATTGATTATTTGTAATCTCTTAGTACTAGACTAAGAGACTACAGGATTAAGCGTATTGGTGTATTTTAAGTCTTAAGTACTGTCTCTTTGAAGATATAACAAAATGGAGACTCCTGTTGTTTTAGGTATTCACTCTATGTATACAGTCCTCAAAATAAGGTTTTCTTTCATATTTTCATCTCCCATCATGTTTCTTTCTGTTGGAGCCTAGATGTTTCTAATACTGAAACATTACAAATGAAGCATAACACTGTAAGTCTTTTCAAAGAAGGGAGCCACAGTCTTATTAACAGGCACCAACAACTGTTAGAAAAATGTGGTGATTATTCTGCCAATAGGATCACTGTCAGCTGCTGGGTCAGTTTTCAGGGCACCGAAAAGAAAAGGGCAGCCATCTGTCTGTGGCAGCTTTTACGTATGTCCCTCTTTGCATTACTGATGTGATATTTCTCTTGGGAAAAATTACATTGAAGTATGGAATGACTCTTAAAGATTTTTATGTAAACAGATAAGTAGAAAATATTATTTTTATATCCAGAGAAGTAGTATATTTTTTTGGTGTTGAAAGGCTTAATTTATTTTGGGGGTGATTGTATTATTATGAATTTCATAAGTCTGAAATGTAAAGAATAACTCAATGCTAGAAATATAGCTTTTGAACTTGCATTTAAATTTAAATTAAGTCATATAAAAGTTCAAAAAGCCTCTTATTTTAAAGGGAGGTTAAGAAAATCCAAAATTCATATTCACATTCACATGTGAATATGAATGTAATTGTCAGTGAAGGGCAATTACATACAAGGGAAACAGCTTGATTGTGTTTTATCTTAACAATGGGAACATCATTATAATAGTCTTTTAAGTGTCTGTGCTAAATCAAAGTGACAATTGTTAAAAGAAGCCTTTTGTTCTTTGTTTTTTAGGTGAAACCTAAACATTTGTCTTGCATTGGTGTCTGTTGTTTTTTGCTGGCCGCTAGAATAGTTGAAGAAGAATGCAATATTCCATCCACTCATGATGTAATCCGGATTAGTCAGTGTAAATGTACTGCGTCTGACATAAAACGGATGGAAAAAATAATTTCAGAAAAATTGCACTATGAATTGGAAGCTACTACTGCCTTAAACTTTTTGCACTTATACCATACTATTGTACTTTGTCATACTTCAGAAAGGTCAGTGGGATTAAAAATAAATGTTTTGTACTTTGAGCATTGCCATAGCTAACAGTAAAGAATTAGAATGAAAGTGAAATTTATAATTTTACTCCCTTCAAATGTTCAACTTGGACTTTTAGTGGCAAGTCCTTAAAATCATTTAAGGCCAGGCAGGGTGGCTCATGCCTATAGTCCCAGCACTTTGGGAGGCCAAGAGGGGGGATCACTTGAGGCCAGGAGTTTGAGACCAGCCTGGGCAACATAGTAAGACCCTGTGTCTACAAGGAATTAAAATAAATCATTCAGGCCGGGTGTGATGGCTCACACCTGTAATCCTAGCACTCGGAGGGTGAGGCGGGTGGATTGCTCGAGGTCAGGAGTTCGAAACCAGCCTGAGCAAGAGCCATACCCCGTCTCTACTATAAATAGAAAGAAATTAATTGGCCAACTAATATATATAGAAAAAATTAGCCGGGCATGGTGGCACATGCCTGTAGTCCCAGCTATTCAGGAGGCTGAGGCAGTAGGATCGCTTGAGTCCAGGAGTTTGAGGTTGCTGTGAGCTGGATTGACCCCACGGCACTCACTCTAGCCTGGGCAACAAAGCGAGACTCTGTCTCAAAAAAAAAATCATTAAAATCTTTGGAAGTTTAATCTATATTCTTTCTTTGCATTGTGTAGGAAAGAAATACTGAACCTTGATAAACTAGAAGCTCAGCTGAAAGCTTGCAACTGCCGACTTGTCTTTTCAAAAGCAAAAGTAAGTTAATTTCTTGTTTACATATGTCTTACAGTTTCTATTTTGAATTTTTAAAAAAACTTTTTTTTTTCTTGTAGCCATCTGTATTAGCTTTGTGCCTTCTCAATTTGGAAGTAGAAACTTTGAAATCCGTTGAATTATTGGAAATTCTCTTGCTAGTTAAAAAACAGTCCAAGGTAAATATCTTCAGTCCTTATTCTTTAAAGCAAGTTTCTTTCCTAATGTTTTATTTTTTCTGTGGTGACTTTAACACTTGAGATACAAGAAAAAATGAGTGTGTTTAAGTTCTCAATATGCAGCTTTGACCCAGACTGTGTAAATTTGGAGGCGAACTTGGTCGCTTAGCCCTGCTTCTTTCTGCATGTAGATGTCCCTTCTGCATGTGTTTATCCCATGTGGTAATACAGCTGTGTACATTGCACACATGCATTGTTCTAAAATTCATAATAGGCAGTAGACTTCATTATATGCTTAATGGGATAGGGTGGCATTCATTGCTCCTGTAGGGCTGAGTTATTATCCCATTAGTAGCATCACCAAATTACATAAGCAATGTTGATGTTGTTAAACCACAGTGTCTCTTTTTAAACCCCTTAGACAAACCAGCTCAGTACGTACGTCTTTGCAGTCATAAAGAGGTGTAAAACTAACAAAAGTTTGAAGTCTTAAGCTAATAGTTTTGTGGAAATACAGGAATTAGCATGAGGTGCTGTGTTTTGTCTTTTGTTTTATTATGTCTCGGTGTCGGATTCTAATGAATACAGGCAGTACTTTGGGGTTTCATTACCAAAGAAGTAGGGCTGATCATAGGGCCAATCAGAAGCAATACTGGGAGGCTGGTTGGAGCAAAAGGATCTTTGACAGAGAGGCTTTGGCCAACAAAGGCTTGTGGCCAAGAAAGTGGTGCACTAGATAAGTTTGGGACGTCATTTTATTTTTAAAAATTTTTTATATTTTTGGTAATAAGTTCTTTTTTAAATTTTATTTTTCAAATTTCAAAATATTAAGGGGGTAGAGATGTTTTTGTTACATGGATACCTTGTATTATGCATAAGTCAGGGCTTTTGGTGTGCTTGTCACTAGAACAGTGTTCATTGTACCCAAGAAGTCATTTATTGATTGATTTTTTTTTTTTTTTTTTGAGACAGAGTCTCACTTTGTTGCCCAGGCTAGAGTGAGTGCCGTGGCGTCAGCCTGGCTCACAGCAACCTCAATCTCCGGGGCTCAGCGATCCTACTGCCTCAGCCTCCCGAGTAGCTGGGACTACAGGCATGCGCCACCATGCCCGGCTAATTTTTCGTTTCATTTTTAGTTGACTTGCTAATTTATTTCTATTTTTGGTAGAGATGGGGTCTTGCTCAGGCTGGTTTCGAACTCCTGACCTTGAGCAATCCGCCCGCCTTGGCCTCCCAAAGTGCTAGGATTACAGGCGTGAGCCACCACGCCCGGCTATTGATTGATTGATTGACAGTGTCTCGCTTTGTTGCCCGGGCTAGAGTGAGTGCTGTGGTGTTAGCCTAGCTCACAGCAACCTCAAACTCCTGGGCTCAAGCAGTCCTACTACCACAGCCTCCCAAGTAGCTGGGACTACAGGCATGCTCCACCATGCCCGGCTAATTTTTCGTTTCATTTTTAGTTGACTTGCTAATTTTTTCTATTTTTAGTAGAGATGGGGTCTTGCTCTTGCTAAGGCTGGTCTTGAACTCCTGAGCGTGAGCCACCATGCTCAGCCCCAAGAAGTCATTTTAGAGTAGACTTACAGATAGAATGTCTGGGTGATGGTCACAAGCAGGAGTAAGGCTATCAAACAGTAGTTTTGGAAGCCAAGCATGGAAATGAGGCAGGGAGTCATGAATGACCAAAATTTGTACCTAATGGTGGACAGAACATTGGCATCATTGGCAAGAAATTTGGGAGACATTAATTTGGGATGAAAGCATGATTTTAGGTACTTGTAACCCAGGAAGGTAGGTGTCTATCAGGTATTTGGCTGTCTGGAATAAAAATTCAGAAGATAAACCATAGTTGGAGATTGAGATTTGGAATTTCTCATGATAAGCAATAGTTGAAACCATAAGAAATTTGTGGAATCCTTTGAGTTAGGGAGTCATTTGAAGCTCTGGGGCTTTCAGCATTGGCCTTTACTAGGAGCCGAGTGAAGGAAGGTACCTCACAATTAAGAGCAGTGTCATTGGAAAAAGGTTTTTAAGAAGAAGGTGGTCAAGAGAGCATTGGATTTTGATGAGAGGTTCAATATAGTGAAAATTAAAGGTCACTGGGTACCTCGGAGGTAGTGTCAGAAGAGTAGTGAGAAAGGAGTGATAGAAGTCAGAAGGGGGTCAAGGTGCAGCTGTATTAGGTGGAAATGGAGGCCAAGATGATACACAAACAAATCTTGTGGTGAAAGTACTGTGTTTCCCCGAAAATAAGACCTACCCATAAAATAAGCCCTAGCAGGATTTCTAAGCATTTGCACAATACAAGCCCTATTTACCTAGTGATGGGCATGGCTACCCAGTTTATCTGCACAACCCATGCATTTCGTAGTGGAGCAGGAAAGAAGATGAGCAGCCCTTCTCATCTGCCCCATGAGAGCTTTATGGCTCGACATGAGAGATTGGGGCCAGTGGTTCTAAAGGAAATAGAGTCCCAAGAAATTCAGGATGGAATTTGGGGTTTGGAGAGTTGTGATGATGTTCCAAAAGATGACGACTTAACCATGTTTGAATAAATGTAGATTGTTGTACCATACTTAAAAAAAAGAACACACTCCCTGAAAATAAGCCCTAGGGGTCTTGAGGAAAAATAAATATAAGACCCTGTCTTATTTTCGGGAAAACACGGTACATGTGTGTGAAGCATTTTGTTTGTAACATAGATAACTTTATAGCTTTTGTTTTTGCCATGATTGTATTAGTTTTCATCTGAACTTTTTATTGATAGCAATATCTAGAAACATCTTCAGTGAAAATTGATTCCTTGAAATAAACTGGGGCATTCCAGTGGTAGAGGAACTTTTTGGGAAATTTCTATTGCTCACTTCTCCTTTAGTTTGTATCTGGTGTTGTAATGTAAATATATATTATTAGTAATCCAAACAGTAAGTTGGTTTCTGTAACAACATGTTTCTGTAACAAAAGAAATGTTAAATTCCTTTGTATTGAGACCATTACAATAGTTGGTTTATTAACAGACCTAGAAGAGTTTTTAGGCCAGTGTGTTTTCTTAGAATAGGCAGAGAGAGCTTTTCTGTGTATTGAATCCTACGTAAATTATACTTCCTGGTTCTCTTCCTCCAAACCAATGGTTCCCAAATTTTGGCTGCACATTGAAATCACCTTGGGAGCTTTATAAACTTGTTGCCCAGGTCACACTCCTTATCAATTGAATCAGAATATCTGGATTGGGAGCCAGGCATCAATATTTCTTTACAGATTGCCAGGTGATTCCAAGGTGCAGCAAGGTTTGAGAGGCACTGCTATAATTTCTTCATTAAAATATTTCTTTTCAGATTAATGACACCGAGTTCTTTTACTGGAGGGAGTTAGTTTCTGAATGTCTCGCCGAATACTCTTCTCCTGAGTGTTGCAAGCCAGATCTCAAGAAGCTGGTTTGGATTGTGTCAAGGCGCACAGCCCAGAACCTGCACAACAGCTACTACAGTGTCCCTGAGCTGCCAACCATCCCTGAGGGGGGGTGTTTTGATGAAAGTGAGAGGTAAGCAGGTTCCTGGACTAATTAAACTTCCCCAGACTAAATATTCCTGATTTTATACTCAGAACAGAACTATGGAATAATATAAGATAAGGCATCAGAGAAAGCCTTACTCAAACATCATTTCTGCAGGTAAGAATGTTAACCAGAAGTAGTTTTGTTAAAATATGTAATGATTTATAAGACCTCCCTCCTACACTTTCTAAAAACTGGTTGTTTTTCATCTTCCTGCTCATCTCCCTTGCTCTTTTTTTTTTTTTTTTTTGAGACAGAGTCTCGCTTTCTTGCCTAGGCTAGAGTGAGTGCCGTGGCGTCAGCCTAGCTCACAGCAACCTCAATCTCCTGGGCTCAAGCAATCCTGCTGTCTCAGCCTCCCGAGTTGCTGGGACTACAGGCACGAGCCACCATGCCCGGCTAATTTTTTATATATATATATTAGTTGGCCAATTAATTTCTTTCTATTTTTATAGTAGAGACGGGGTCTCGCTCAGGCTGGTTTTGAACTCCTGACCTTGAGCAATCCGCCCGCCTCGGCCTCCCAGAGTGCTAGGATTACAAGCGTGAGCCACCGCGCCCGGCCTCCCTTGCTCTTTTTGAAATTTTTATTTATTTATTATTTTCCCCTTGCTCTTTGAAATAAGAGTTTAGTGAAGAAAAAAGAAAGAAAAAACTCGAAGACTGAAACAGCATTTTGGGCTTTGTAATGTTAGTATGAATTCCTAATATGGTGCTGTAGGGAAGAGGTTGAGGTACCCCTGGACTAGATAATGAAGGGAACCACCAGCACTCATGGGGCAGACTTGAATAGATGTTCTTACAGTTTTGTCCAATGTCGTCGTTGTCTTACTCAGAGTTCAATTATCTTTGTTCGTAAAGTGAATTATTTAATTTTACTAAATTTGACTGTTCTATGCTGTAGAAATAAAGAACCAGAAGTTTCATTTTTGTAGCTTGTTAGTTTCTTGCTTTGATATTTGGGAGTGATGCCATTTGGCAATGATGCCATTATTGATGTAAGAAAGACATCCAAATAGATGATGTGATACAAGATATGTTGTCTGTAGTCTGCATTTATTGGAGTTAAAATATTTAGAGTTCTACAATTAGTTGCTGATAGTTGTTCATTGGTACAAGAATAATAGTTTGGCAAATAATAATTTGTTTAAACTTCTTAAGAAAATCTGCATTTTCTGATGAAATTACTGTAGACTTCACTTTAGGAAGTCCTTATAAGTTCTAAACGTTGTCTCTGTAAAGCCTAAATTTTGAATATAAAAAAATCCTAAGATTAGAAATATTCAGATAGTGGGTTTATTTTGCTTGTCAGACATTTCAGTCTATTTTAAGTAATGGTATCCTCTTTTGTCTTTTTTCCTTTTAGTGAAGACTCTTGTGAAGATATGAGCTGTGGGGAGGAGAGTCTCAGCAGCTCTCCTCCTCGTGATCGAGAGTGTACCTTCTTTTTCAACTTCAAAGTGGCACAGACACTGTGCTTTCCATCTTAGAAATCTGATTGTTCTATGTTAGAATTTCAGTGTACAGGTTTCAAAGCAATAAATGGGGGAGTAGGTAGTTTTGTGGTTCAGCCCCCATCGAGGCAGGAATTACATAGACAGGGATACCTGCCTTCTATTTATTATTCAGATCAGATCTGGCCTATTTTCATATTTATCCTAAGCCATCAAATGGGTTAGTGCCTCTTAAATAATTAACAGTAATTTAGACATTGGCACTTTATTTTTCTTGTGGATCTTTAGGTACTTGGGGTAGGAGGGAAGGTGCTTATACCTTCAGTTTATTACTTTTCATAAAAAATTTTTAAAGATAAATAGTGTAGCTTATCTTGAACATTTTATAAAGTCTTCAGGTGTCTTTATTTAAGCAGATTGGAAGTGTGCAAGTGCTTCCTTATTAGCAGGGCCAATGGATAATCCTTCAATGGTTTATCTCAGATTTCCCTCTCCTTCCTTTCTCAGAACAGAGAATATACTCTTAAATGGCAAACACCATTTTTCGTTTTGTTTTTTTAAATGATCAGTGTCTGTCTGATGCAGTTCCTATAAATTTAGCAATTATATTGACATTTCTGTGAATTTTGGTATGTAACATCTTAATTGAAGTTTCTGCTAAAGCAGAAATCATCGACAGGCTAAGGCTGTTAGTTGCATTCCTAATGCCTAAGTATTGTCAGACTATAGCATTATTTTAATGTTATTTAAAAAATTCATAATCTGCTAGTTTTGCATGTGTCTGTATGAAAGCCGTGCAGGAAGTTGAACACAACTAGGTAACTATGGAATTGGTAAGTGTTGATCTAGAAGTGCATTTTATCTTATTTTCTTATATTGAAAGATGTCTGCATGATTGCATTTTATTTCTTCTGTAATTCACATTTCAAAAATAATGTATTAGTATATGGGTGCCAAGATTGAATATGAAGTGAAAAGAACCCAACCAAGTATTTGCAGTATTATAGTTTTAAGCAAATCTGTGTGGTGATACAGCCATAGAATGGGGATATGTAAACTCTGTACACATCAGGTTTTGTACAGAGAATTTTTAATTTTATAAACTGTATATGAAAATGTAAATCTTTAAAAATGTACATAAAAATACTGTATTTTTTTACCTTGTGTGTGTGATAGTCTAGTCATTGCATGTAAATATAATTTATTGTGTATTCTGAATTATAAATCACACATTGATGACTTTTTTACTGGTAAGTCAGCATCCATTGGATGTTTTCAGAAGTGGCTCTTTTTGAAGTAATAATTACATTATAATTCAAAATAAAATTTTAATGAATTCTCCTTGTTTGCAGTCACATCTTAATTTTTAATCTTTCTATAAAAGTGCTTGCTGTATTTCAATGAGAAGGCTTTGAGTGAGGCTAGAGTGGTTCCAGGGTAAGCCTTCTCACTGGCTACCAGACATTCTCTAAGTAATGGTTCCTCACCACAGTTTGCACCTTAGCCTTGGAGATATACCGAAAGTAAATCTCTCACTAGAGAGTTAACCTTTATCTGGGATGGACTCCCATTAAGCAAGCTCTCTGAGACTGGTGTATTACCAGAATAATACCTATTAATTTACAGTGAAAGGCAATAGGTACCGTGTTTCACCAAAAATAAGACAGGGTCTTATATTTATTTTTCCTCAAGAAGACACCCTAGGGCTTATGTTCAGGGGGTGTGTTATTTTCCCCTCAAAGCTTCAGCTTGCAGCACGCACAGGATGGCTGGGACCTGACGGGGAGCTGACCTTGGTGGTGGGGCTGCCTGCACCTTTCCAGTCACCTCTGGGATAGTAGCTGTCACGGTGGGGCAGATGAGAAGGGCCGCTGGTCTTCTTTCCCATTCCACGGCGAAATGCATGGGTTGCGCAGATGCCCTGCGTAGCCACACCCATCACTAGGTCTTGTTTTCAGGATAGGGCTTATATTGCTCAAATGCTTAGAAATCTTGCTAGGGATTACTTTGCGTGTAGGGCTTATTTTCGGGGAAACGTGGTATCAAGTAGACCAGAGTGCTGAGGTTGGCAAATCAGTCCAATCTCTTTCTGGAGACAAACCGAATTCTAATCAGACAGTTGCTTGATGAATAAGCATCATGTGTTAGCCATGAAGGAGCCTTGCCAGCTTCTGTCTCTTGTGTACCTATTTTTCCAAGTCTCAGGTGGTTTTTCAAGTGACAGCCTTTTTTTCTCCATGTAGGTTCCCCATCCATCTCATTTGATTTTTGTAGACCTTTGTTTTCTCTAGTTAGTTAGGGAATCATGTATGCGGAATATGGTTTTCTTGTAAGAACTTCTCTGGAAATAGAGGCATAGCCATGTTTTCCTACCCTCCCAAGGGAGAATCTCTACTTAAGGATGACCCTCCCTGTCTTACTAAATAATTTCAGTAAATCGTAGGCAATCTATTCTGCTTTTAGATTTTGATTTGACATATAAGAGTTATTTGTGGCTTTCTAAGTATTGAGACCACCTTTGTTCCTCCAGGTTGTATTACTTTTCTTACCAGATGCTCTTCTGGTGACTCTCTATAGCTTCATCTTTTCCCCTGTCTGGTTTTCAGTATATTGAGTCTAGACCTTGTACTGAGCTCCCAACCTATTTTTTCACAACTGGCCATGCCACTTGGAAGTTTAATACTCCCAAACCTGCTGTTCTGTGTGTCTTTCTCAGTGAATAAGAATTCTGTCTACTCAAGTTGAAAACTTAGGTGATACCATCATCTCCTTATGCCTGTTTGTTTACTGGAGGTTGCCATCCTGTGTCATTTGTGATTTCATTTATATTGTTACATCTGTCTCTTTTCTAGCCACTGGCTTGGTTCCAATCTGCACTCGATGTCAGCAGGGTTATGGCAATATCTTACTGATCTTGCAGTCTCCAAGCCTGATCTCTTAACTGGCTGCCAGCATATCCTTTTAAAATAAGCACTTTTTTTTTTGAGACAGAGTCTCACTCTGTTCCCCTGGCTAGAGTGCTGTGGCGTCAACCTAGCTCACAGCAACCTGAAGCTCCTGGGCTCCAGCAATCCTCCTGCCTCAGCCTCCTGAGGAGGGACTATAGGCATGCACCATCATGCCCGGCTAATTTTTTCTGTATATTTTTAGTTGGCCAATTGATTTCTTTCTTATTTTAGTAGAGATGGGGGTCTCGCTCTTGCTCAGGCTGGTCTGGAACTCTTGACCTTGAACGATCCTCCCGCCTCAGCCTCCCAGAGTACTAGGATGACAGGCGTGAGCTACCGTGCCTGGCCCCAATTGTTAAGTATTTTAAATCAAACAGTGCTAAACATTTTTGTACGTACATTTCTGCTTGCCTGTCTAATCGTTTCTTTAGGACACCTTTCTAGAAGTGAAAATGTTGGGTCTAAGAGAATACATGTTTTAAACTTTATGTAGTGTTTACCTGCTTTCCAGAAAGGGGCTATGGATCACACTGCATCGTGGGGATAATTTCCCCCTACTTTTAAGCCAGAGGATTTTGACAGGGATGGGGGAGGAGGACTCAGAAAAGCAAATGAGATCATTTGATTCCTAAAAGGGCTTAGGGGAAGGTGTTGCTAAAAGGGATGGGAGGAAAAATCACAGGTCCCCAAAGTGGGGCTCGGAGAGTAACCTGTGTCTGCCTCCCTTACTTAGGTCCCAGTTCCGGCTCAGGCAACACTGGGCAAACTGTGTCCTCAGACAGCAGGATGATGAGATTCCTTGCTGCCCTCCGGCCTGGACAGGCAAAATCCTTTCTGCCCAGCGCTGGAGAAAGCCCTGTAGGCAGCTGTACCTGCCGGCCTGAGCTCTTGCCCTGTCTTGCACATTAAAGAGGAGCCAGGTTGAAAAGAGATAAAAGGCAAGTGGAGCTGCCAGCTCTGAGGAGTGGTGCTGTGCCTGAACTTGGGGCTTGGCTGGCGGAGCGGACATTTTCGTCTTGGTCGCCCCAGGGAAAAATTTGGGGCCATTCTCAGGTGGGACCGGGACCAGGGCAGGGGCAAGGGAAGGAGGTGAGGACGACAGTGAGTCGCATTTTGCCTGCCTCTGTGCCTGTGTTGTACCAGCTGCCATTAGTTCTTCCCTTTCCATTTTTTAAATTCATTTTTCTCAAATTGAAATGATTTGAGTGCAAAACTTTTATGCGGGAAAAACACTTAACATGCTGTTCTAAATCTCATTCGTTACATGTCCATTCTAATACCACGATGTCTTCGTGACATGTCACCTGCCAGCTGTTCTTGCAGGGGCTGTATTTTCCACACACTTCAGAGCGCAAGTCTTTCTTCCTTTGCATTTTACATCGAGCGGCTTTGGAGCACAATGGCGCAGCTGTTGCCTGCATTTGGGGAAGGAGCCCTGTTTGGGTTCAGTGATTGGCTGCTTTCTGCAGTTGCCGGGACCCTGCATTCTGAGAGCACACAGGCATGGCGTGGGCCGACAACAGGTGCTTCTCCTTTGCGGCACACAGAGACTGCGTGTGCTTACCCACGGCCAGCCCGGCGCGCTCTCATGACTGCTTTTCTTTGTGCTGTTCCAAAAACATGAAAAGATGGCACAGAACGAAGATCTAGATATCCATTTCCTCAATTTTTTTTTTTAAAGAGACTAGGTCTTACTATGTTGTCCAGGCTGGAATGCAGTGGCATCATCGCAGCTACAGCAACCTCAAACTCCTGCGTCTAAGTGACCCTCCTGCCTCAGGCTCCTGAGTAGCTGGGACTATAGGCCTGTGCCACCATGCTTGGCTGATATTTTAAATTTTTTGTAGAGATAGGGTCTCACTACATTGCCCATGCTGATCTTGAACTCCCAGTGTCAAGCAGTCCTTCTGCCTTAGCCTTCCAAAGTGCTGGGATTACAGGCCACGGCACCCAGTCTTTATCTTTTCTTGAAGTCCTCAGGGCCCCTATGTGATTATTCCAAGACCTACTCTGCTATCCCTGAAGTACTTTAGTATTTAGTATTGAGAATTTGGTAGTATTTTTTCCCAGTAGACTTTATATTTGTAGAATTGTAATTTTAAAGATAGTTCAGAATTTCCATATACATTAAACCTTTTTAAAAGTACTGAAAGTAGAAGGTACAAAAATAGACATGCATACTGCTTTTCTTCTGTTACTAATGGCAAGGACAGAAAAAACAAAGGGTCTGCAAAAGGGACACAACACAGAACTGACAGGCATGTAAGAAATCCCATGGAGGGTGAAGGAAAAGGGAAGGAGAGAAAGCTGTGGGTGACATAAGATGAAAGAAAGAGGGACCTGCTGGGGATTAGAATATGGAAGGAGAAGAACTAGCTGTGGAAGCCAGTGAGACCGGCTGGGGTGGGTGTTGGGCAGCTGTTGGGAAGGTCTTGGGTTGGGAGGAGAAATCTTGGGTTTCAGTCCCAGATCCATCCTCAGCTGTCTGACTCAGGCAGGTTACTTTACTGCTCTGGAGTAAATTTTGCTTTTTATAAAACGGGTTTGGGACAGGGGTTCATTGTAGCTCTGCCAGTCTCATTCCAAAGTTAGAAAACATTCTAAAGCACCCAAGACTCTTGTCTTCTTGGAAAGGGTTTCTTAAATCTCGGGTGAGAGGACTGTTATTATTTCCAGTTGTAATCTTCTTTAAGATTGTATCCAGTCTGCAATCCAGTCAAGTCTGTCTCGAGCTTTGTTAATTTTCACTTTAGAAGGAAAGAACTGCTAAACGATTACAGAAATGATGACGGTGGGAAAATGGAATGGTGGGTGTTAATAAAATGGGAATGAGCACATCAGGACAGGGATAAAGACCTTAACGCAGATGGACCCGGGAATGAGTGGCAAGCGTCGCCACGGTATAATCGGACTAATCGCCAATGGGCAGCTCTGTTCTGTTTTGACAGAAATGCGGTGGCGTCAGCCTAGCTCACAGCAACCTCAAACTTCTGGGCTTAGGTGATCCTCCTGCCTCAGCCTCCTGAGTAGCTGGACTACAGACATGTGCCACCATGCCCGGCTAATTTTTTCTATATATTTTTAGTTGTCTAGCTAATTTCTTTGTATTTTTTTTAGTAGAGACAGGGTCTCGCTCTTGTTCAGGCTGGTCTTGAACTGCTGACCTTGAGTGATCCTCCCGCCTTGGCCTACCAGAGTGCTAGGATTACAGGTGTGAGCCACCGCACCCGGCCTACTTTTATTACTTTAAAAGAAATTTTTAAAGCACATTTTCTCAAGCATTTTGTTGAGGCCAGCTGGATACTCTAGAAGAAAAGTATCTCCTTTCTCCTGACTACAGATAGATGAAAACTCAAGTGAAAGTGGGTTGTGGAATCTGTAAATTCCCAGAAAGCGCTGGGATAAACAAGGCCAGTTTGTGCCTAGGTGTCAGCTGACCTGTTGCCGTAGCCTCGATTACATCCCAGCTCCATTCCAGGCGGCCTCTCGGCCTCTCCTCTTATCCTCCAAGCAGCAATGGGATTCAGCTAGCTAAACTTGCAGCTTTTCAAACTTTTGCCTTAAATTACCCCTAATAATGGAAAAGTGCCTCCAAGTACTCTTGAGAAGGCAGAGTTTAAACAACCTGCTGTAAGCATAAGATTTCTTTGAAGGCTCATGCTTCCTTAAAACCTCATACAAATTTTACAGTATATTTCCTTTTCTTATTTTTTCTTTTAAATAAATGTTTGGTGTAAGAATTATTTTGAGACAGTCTCACTCTGTTACCTGGGCTAGAGTGCCATGGCATCAGCTTAACTCACAACAACCTCCAACTCCTGGGCTCCAGTGATCCTCCTGCCTCAACCTCCTGAATAGCTGGGACTACAGACATGCGCCACCATGCCTGGCTAATGTTTTCTATATATATTTTTAGTTGGCCAATTAATTTTCTTTCTATTTTTAGTAGAGACGGGGTCTCGCTCTTGCTCAGGCTGGTTTCAAACTCCTGACCTTGAGCAATCCGCCCGCCTTGGCCTCCCAGAGTGCTAGGATTACAGGCGTGGGCCACCATGCCCAGCCACGGATAATCTTAGATTCACATAAAACTTGAGGGATGAAGAGAGTTTCATCACCTAGTCTCTCCCGATGCAACGTGGAAGCACAGGCGGAACCCAAAGCCTCACCGGGAACCTCCTGGCTTCCACTGCACCGTAAGGCTCAGTGAGGCTTGTGGGTGGAAGAATAAATGAATGACACACAGGTGAGTGATGACGGCCATCAGTGTTGTCTGAGGTTAAGGACGTTTGACTTTAACACCAGCGTCTGATCAGATAGCTACCCATCTTTCTTCGTCTGAAATTTCTCAGGATGTGCCAAGCATGTTAAGCTTTAAGTACTTGAAGGAAAGTTGACTCAGCTACTCTTCGAAGGTGACTCTAAACTACTTTCTCAAAACACTCAGCAGCCTTTACAACGTAGTACCAAAAATAAATAAAAAGAAATCTGAGAGGGCAGCAACACCTGTTGAAAGCAGGACACCCGGGAGCCCTCTGGCATCCAGAGACTTGGTTTCACCTGCCGCCGCCCCCAGCACTCACGAGCCCCCAGCACTCACGAGCCCCCAGCACTCACGGAGCCACGGGGCCTCACTCCTCCAGGGAGGCCGGTGCAGAGAATAAAAGAGACTCGGGGGCGGCAGCTTGGGCTTGGTGGGGCGAGTTTGTCCCAGAGCGCTGCCCCCGTGCCGCGAGGTTCTCGGTGGTGGGGAAGGTGGGTGGCAAAGACCGAACTTTTGGTAACTCTCAAGGGAAGTTTTGGCTGTAGCTTACTTTAGAAGTGAAAGAAGAACAGGGAAAAACGAGGGACTCTAAATGAGCGGATTGAGAAACTCGAGAGAAGGGGAAGCAGCCACTGGGCGCAGACTAAATACCACTCGGGATGGCAGGTCCTTGGAGGCATCGAGCCAGGCGCGTCTTCCCTCTCTCAGAGCACAAAGAGGAGAGACCTCTTTCATTACTGGGGCTTGTCTTTCTTTCCTTCTTTCTCCGAACGCGGCGCCTTGAGCCGCGAGGCCGTCCTGACTGCTTCTTTCTTTCTCTTTCTGACTCCAAATATCCTTTACTGACATCTACTTAAAACATTCCAGTCTTTAATCGAAATACATTTCAACTTGGTGGACAGGCTGGTCGCTGATCCTAGGTCAAGACTTCACAGTGGCAGGAACACTTCCCACCTGTAACGTCAACACGGGCTCCTGACAAGCGAGTGAATAAGCACCGAGTGGGCGAACAGCTTGCCGCAGCGGGCACAGGTGCGGGCTTGGGCATCTGATGCTAGGCTGGGGGAAGAATGAAATCTAATGAAGGGCTCATCAAACGGATCACTTAGAAATATCCTCAATTTCTAATCTCGCCTCCAGAAGTATTGAACTCTTAATCAAATCCTATATTCCAACGTCCTGGGTTTCTCTGGGGCTTTCAAAAGACTGGTCATCCCGTCCTCTAATACATACCGCTGGGGGTCTGGCTGCTGTTTCCTGTCGCTCTTCACTCCAGGGCTCTTCCACCTGTTTCAAAAGGTGACTGGCCCAGCTCAGACCGCGAGTTGCACAGACCAGGCTTCTGTGGTTGACGCGCGTCGCCGGGCACACGCCGAGGACCACGCGCAGTCCCACTCCTCTGAGCAGACCCTGCGGCCACCTGCCTTCGCGTCAGCAGTGCCGTGCTCAGCTGCGTGTTGTCCTGGCATCATTCTCCCTGCAGACCTTGCAGTACCTGTGGGTCATGGGGCAATAGACACCTGGACCTTCTATAAAAGCCCTTGTGGTAGCCTAAGATCAGGTTTTAAATTAAGACTTCTCTCAGGCCTCAAGCCTCACTTTCTGAAAAGGCATCTGTTCTTGGTTTATCATCTAATACAAAGATACTGTAGCAAGACCACTCTTCTGACTAACTTACTGAAGTCACATAGACTCTTCCAGCAGCTCTAGAGGCTTTGCTTTTCTGGTTTTTTTTTTTTTTTTTCTTGACAGTCTCTGTTGCCTGGCTACAGTGATGTGGCGTCAGCCTAGCTCACAGCAACCTCCAACTCAAGGTTGGAGGGCTCAAGCAATCCTCCTGCCTCAGCCTCCCAAGTAGCTGGGACTACAGGCATGCACCACTATTGAGGCTTTGTTTTAAAACAAGCTTGGTAGTCTTATATCTACAAGAACAGTTTCTAAGTGACTTTTGGCCTTCATCTGGGTAGACGCCTGTTACAGAAACACCTGTCCTGATGAAGCAGGATGGAAACCTCTCACCTCAGGCCAAAGATTGGATCCACTTGCAGGGAAACCGTGGGGGGACATAGATCAACTCCCAGTTAGACTCCCTGGAGGGAAGGAAAGGCTCTTGGGACAGCACAGCACAGACCTGCAGTGAACATCAAGTATCATGTGGCCTCACCAGGGAGCTAAGTCTTTAATAGCATTCCTTAGAAAATAGCTGTCTGACAATCCGCGGGCTGACACCTCCACCTGGCGCTGGGGGAGACTTAGCACCTTACCTCGAGCCGCTGTGGTCAGGCTGGCTCACCTGGGAGCACCCGTCTGATGGGCAGGTGGTCAGGAGAGGCTTCTGTGGTGGGGGTAATGAAGAAACTTCATCTGGTCAGGTGGCTACCGCGAGTGCTACGAGAACTAGGAAGCTTCCTCGAGTTTATCAGAAAAACCGCATCTGGAATGGGAAGGGGACGGAGTGGCATCCGGTGCCAGACACGCCTAGAGTGCACAGCATGGCGGGCTCGGTCGCTGCTGTGACGCGCCTCACAGCTGCTTGGGGGCAAGGCGGGAAGCTCGATGGCACCCTGGGGCATCAACGCAGGCGCTGTTTAAAACGTTGGTTTGCCTCGTCACCCCAGGAACGACAGTGGGGACATGCAGCCTCTACTCCAGTCCCCACGCGTGGGCAGCTGCTGTCTGCGTGGGGGACGCAGAGCTCGGGGCCTGTGACCTCCCTCCCTGTAGATCATCTGCTCAGGAGACACGTTCCGAGTCGACAAAGCTCCAGACAACTCTCCTGGCAGACGGGATCCGGGGTCCAGAGCCTCGGCCTTGCTGAGCGAGTCAGCGAATCAGCGTTCACAACCAGACCTGGGGCAGAGCAGGACAGGGTCCCTCGGCTGAAGCCTGGCACGGCAGTGAGTGGCTCTGCCTCTCCACAGCTGCTGGCCTCTGGAAAGGGCTTTCTGACCAGGCACCCCTGCACCATCCTCACCTGCCTCCAGGTCCCTTACTGCCAGCGACACCTGTCTGCTTTCAAGAATGCCAGCAGCTGCTGTGCTGGTGACTTCACGCTGCCAGTCGAGAACTCGGTCAAACGTGTGTGAATTCTGAGACTTGAAGTTCATGGTCTGGGTGTTCTGTCTCGCCAGCGGCCCTGGCCCCTGCCTCTGTAAACCTTATTAACTGCTGTAAAAACGAAGGGAAACAGAAAAGCCAATGCACATAAACTTCAAATCTACCAATCCAGTGGATCACTGGGCAAAAACTAAATGGTGGAGACACTGGAAAGTTCTTTTCCCACCTAGTGTAGGGCAAAACACCACTGGCCCAATCATGCCCTCAGCTGCAGTGGGTCTCCTGAAACTGGCAATCGGGTGCAGCTGGCCTTCCTGCCCAGGCTTCCGGACAGGCACGGGGCTCTGGACGTCGGGCTCTGATACGCCTGTAACTGAAACCACATACCCGGAGAACAGGGAGAAGAGGCTGAAAAACAAGGCTCTCGAATGGCAGCTTTCTCTTAGAATGAGACATGGAACAGCTCTCGACTTCCGGTCGGGAGTGGTCTGCTGGCTGCTCCACTCACGCCACCTCCCCGGGCTCTGGCCTGGCGTGCACTCCGTGTGCGGTCCCGTTCATGTCATCTATAAAACCTTGTCTGAGACCCACTCTCGACTCAACCCCAGCTGTCCCTTAGGGTGGCCTTAATTCAAATTCTTTGGGCCAGGCACAGTGGCTTGTGCCTGTAATCCTAGCACTCTGGGAGGCCAAGGTGGGAGGATCGACCAAGGTCAGGAGTTCGAAACCAGCCTGAGCAAGAGCGAGACCCTGTCTCTACTAAAAATAGAAAGATATTAATTGGCCAACTAAAAACATATAGAAAAAATTAGCAGGGCATGGTGGAGCATGCCTGTAGTCCCAGCTACCCGGGAGGCTGAGGCAGGAGGATCGCTTGAACCCAGGAGTCTGAGGTTGCTGTGAGCGAGGCTGACACCATGGCACTGTAGCCCGGGCAACAGAGTGAGACTCTGTCTCAAAGTTCTTCGTTGTACTAAGGCCTCTCCTGGTTCCCACTTGGTGCCTGGGGTCTCCCTAGAGCTCACTGATGCCAGCAGCTACTTTGCTGGGAAAACATCTGTAGCCCGGTGTCGCTTGGCACCAAATCTGTCTAAAACTAGCCATAGTCGAAGACCGACTGCCTTTGTCCTGGCGGAAAGAATCCACTGGAACAGGGTGGTTAAATGGCCAGGGGCGAGAAGTGAGTGTGGCACCTCTGCTTCAGCTCCTGAGTTGGCCTCGTGGCGCAGGCTCTTTCCTGGGGCCTTGCTGAAGGTAACTGCCTCTTTCCGAGACCCCTCCCCGCCAGGCCCCACGCGGAGGGAGCCAGTGTTACACGCCTAGTCAAGCTAGCTCTTCACTCTGGAGGCCTGACCTAGAGCAAGGTAGAGAGGCTCCAGGCCCAGCAGGGAGCTCCGCGAGCAGAGGCCTCCCCCGCAGGCGCTGGGTTCTCAGGGTCCTCCCTAATTGAGACCCGCAGGTTACCTGTGGCGGGGCAATCGCTGCATCTGGCCTTGATCTTGTTTCCTCCTGTAGCAAATTTAAGCTTAGTTACACAGGATTGACCACATTCTGGGTCTCGGGGCTTCCGAGTCTGTCAGCAAGGCCCTGTCTAAAACAGGGTGGGGCGGGAGAGACTCGGAGCTTGGGCCTGCCTTGCGTCTGGATGCTCCGACCCGCAGAGCAGTGGCAGCTTCTCGGGCGTCCTGTCTGGCATCTGACGTCCGGTTAGCTCGAACAACAGGCCCTTTTCCTCTAGGGAGTCGACTTGTAGCCTCTGGTCGCCACAGCTCTCCCCGCAGGCTATCGGCTAAGCAGTCCCTTCCTCTGCCCTGGACTGGAGGAGGAGCGCTTGCCCGGCCTGCGGGGGCGCTGGCGCATGCGTCCTCTTGAGCCTGTGTTCTGAGACGGGCGTGGCTGGTCTGGTGACGGCTACAATTAACTGCCTTGTGCTGAGCACGCCCTGGCAGGGAACCCTTGCCCTCCGGAGCGCACTGCATGGCTCGAGAAGAACGTCACCAGCCAGCTGCGGCTCAAGTCTGTGACCCACGGCTACAGGCGAGGGCGCGGGGATGCCGGCTGGCGATCGAGGGTGACTTTCAAATCTGGCCCTTTCTCTGTAACTCTCGGAATGTGGGCAGACTTCAGCTTTGGCCTGAACGCGTCATCACAGGGCCCTGTGTCTGAGCTTTCGCCTAACCTTCCCACAGTCCTAGCCTAGGTGGTCGGAAGCAGAGAAAGGGGACTGGAGCTGCTCGGCAGAAAAGCCCTGCAGATGGCAACGCAGTCTGGCGCCCCTGCTGCAGTGCCGCCGCCGCCTGGAAACCCGGGACGGCGTCCGGTCTGGGCCGTGGCTGTGAGGCTCTGGAGCACTTCGGAGCATGTCCAGAGGGATGTCTGAGTCAGGTGTGATCAGCTGAAGGAGGCGTTAAATGTTGAAAGGCACCACGTGTTCCCTCTGTTTTCAGGTCCGGGGATTGGGAACTCCCAGATAGGAGATGGGACCCTGTGGCACGAACCAGACAATCCTGTGACCTTCTGAGATTGAGTTGTCTCCTCCCAGCAAGCCCTTAACTCGTGCACGAAACGGCCTTCTCGGAAAGCTCCAGATCAAGGTTCTGTGTATGCTCTTGGGAAAACTCGTTAGGAACTCTAGAACAACACAGCTTTGGATAAGAAAAGGTAGCCTTGGGGCCTCCTATTTGTCTTACAATACCTGCTCTAGAGAGGCTGGTCTCTAAAGCAACTGGAGAAGGTAGTTTCAGTATCGCTGTCAGTTGAGTTCCAACCTTTGAAAAGAAGTTCCCAGGAACTCGAATTCTGGAACCACCTAGACCACACTTTGTCAGGATGCGTTTGTATTCAACACCATTCTACGTGAGCAACACGAACGTCTTCCACACCCCTGGCAACTTGACTATCACCGCAAGCTTTGCCTTAATTTTTCAAGCCATCTGTACCTAAACTGCATTCCAGAGCTTATTTTAGTGGCACTTGTTTGTCCTGAGTACAGGAAACTAGAAACATACGAGTAGCTCATCTTTGACTGGCCTTTCAAGAAAGGGATTGAGGCTGGGCATGGTGGCTCACGCCTGTAATCCTAGCACTTGGGGAGGCCAAGGTGGGAGGATTGCTCAAGGTTGGGAGTTTGAGACCAGCCTGGGCAAGAGCGAGACCCCATCTCTACTTTAAAAAAATTAATTGGCCAACTAAAAATATATGGGAAAAGTTAGCCAGGCATGGTGGCGCATGCCTGTAGTCCCAGCTACTCCCAGCTGAGGCAGGAGGATCGCTTGAGCCCAGGAGTTTGAAGTTGCTGTGAGCTATGATGCCGCCAGCGCTCTAGCCCGGGGGACAGAGACTATCTCAAAAAAGAAAAGAAAAAGGATCGAGTACTTGAAAGCATTCATCTTTCTAGGGCCTAGCTCCACACCCGAGCCGTCTCTGAATGCCTGTGGGCGGGGCGAGCTTCCCAGCCGTGTGCTACCTAAGCCTCCCTGGGCCAGCAGCAGTGTGCAGACCTCTGGGTGCCTGGCCAGGACTGTGTGCTGACTTGTATAGGGACCAACATCAATGTGTATCAAACCTCATAAAACCCGCTGAAAGGGACATGGTGCCTCGTGTCTGTAGGCCCAGCTACTCAGGCTGAGGCTGCAGTGAGCCATGATTGTGCCACAGCACTCCAGCCTGGGTGGCAGCGTCAGACCCTATCTCAAGGAGAAACTCAATCGAATGACTAAGTTCCTAAAACATCCTAGATAACTTGCTATATCACTTGGCAGTACTAATACTACTACTCCTATAGCACTGACTTGTTGCTAGATACCTCAGATATCCCTAGGTAAGAAGTACTTATAAACCTTAAGTGCTGTCACACCCCATTTGAGGAGGCTGGGGCTTTACTTCCCTGACCTGAGAGCCCTGCTGGCCAAGGAGGCTCAGGTGCTTCCCCTTGCTGTGCTACTGAAGTCCACACATGGCTGACAGGAGGGCGCATCTCAAGTGCTACCTGTGGCTTCGGCTCAGCTCTTAAATAAGCCATGCACAATACTTGAGGCACTTCCCAAAGGAGCACTTCGCCAGCGGAAGAGCCGAGTCCTCCTCGTGGCCTCCCACCGCATCAGGCTCTTGGAGAGGCAACTTAACCCTTCATGTTAGCGAGGAAGGGCTCCTACAACTCGGTGTCCTGAGTTACCCTAACCAACCTCCTTGAACTTACTGTTCTTACAGGCAGAACTGGGACAACTTGCTCTGTCTCATTTATCAGGGATCACTTAGAAAAGTGTAAGCATCGGACCAAATCAGTACTTCCCGCAACCCAGTCTCGAGACAGATGTCCAGTGTTCTGTTCAAGCTAAGCCTTGGCCACCATGGCAATAAGGGTGCTTGTCTGAGATGAGCCTATAGATGCCAATCGTCTTGAGCTAACGTAACTGAGCAGCTGAAAGATCAAGAGACTGGCTGCATGTGAGCTGATGGTGAGGATGGCTCATATGTGTCCTTCTGCCCGTGCTTGTCGACACCAATCCAGTCTTGAATACAGATGCCTAAACCTAGTGATGGGCAAAGGAGAGGCGCTTTCCTCTGGTATCTAATTGCTTTGACTCAACAGTTAAGCTGAAAGAAATTTAACCTGCTGAACTCCCAGCTGTCAAACCAGTTCACCACGTCAGTCATGGAATGATAGTCCAGCCACTCTCTTGCCTTGTCCAAGAATATGTAAGATTTGGGTGAGTGGTAATGGTCCTGTCTGATAATAGAAGTCACCTGTGACAGATACCCTAAATCATCAACCATGATTCACAGGGCTTCTCTTTGACGTTTACAAACCTCAATGCATGGAATCATGTTCTAGTCTCTTATGGCCAAGGCTTGCATTTCACCAGCTTGGCTGGTAGCTGGCTTGTCCCTGGAGTTCTATGGGAACACTTTCAACTTCAGCTCTAATAGATCTGCTTAGTAAGCTCACAAGAGGAATCGAAGTCTTCTCAAGTGCTGGCTGTGGCTTCCTATCCTGTACACCCACCCACCCCCACCGTTTGCAGGAATTGAGTATTCTAGAACGTTTCCTTCAAAGGTTCCTGCTTTCACAGGAGTGAGGGAGACGGACCAATAGATGACAAGTTTCCAGTTGAACCTGGAAGTAGGGCTATAACAGTGTCATGCCCCCCAGCAACACATGCAAAAGGAATGTTCTGAACGACACGCAGCAGGGGTTTGTCCTAGTGTTCTTCATGGTGAGCTCCACACAGCGCGCAGCTTGTGCTCGAGTCTTTCTAGGGTTCACACGTCCAGCCATCTGGACTCCGTAAGGTTAATTCAAAGTGGATTTTAAGACCCTGGCTCCATGGTACACGGACCCTCCTATCAGGGTTCTCCTTAGCATTCTTGTGTCCACGCTAGTTACTCACCTACCTCATGCCACTGCCCCCGCCTCGCGTCCTGGGGTTCTGTTCCCGGTCCTTACTCTACTTTAGCCACTCTCACCTCTGCGGAGGACTGAAGGTTCTGGCCTCCCCATCACAAGTATTTTTCTAAGCCGACGTGCACGTTCGTTGCTCACGGCCACGCGGGCCCGCTGCTTTGGGAGCAGACCAGGCCACGACTCTAACCCTGCAAAACACCATGAGTGTGGACAAGGAGTAACGGTACAACAACAGTCGGCAAGCCCTCCCTCCACGCCGTTGCTCTGGGAGCTTACATATGCCTGTTCACTTATACCTTAGTAACTAGCTTATAGGGTTATCTTACAGTGGAAAAATTTAAGGCCCGGAAGTCACTTTCCCATCCTCTCAACCTAGGAAACAGTTAACTTTAGGTGGTTCTGTTGTCTTTGTGTGTACACAATCAAAACTGACGGCCTGCTACAACTTGCCTTTAGAACAGACACTTCACCTAGTACTTCATATGGTAGTTAGGGTTAGGTAAAACCCAATGTCGAGAAGCTGACCCTCTAAGGATGCAGCCGGGTGTGGATGTCATTCCTATCTTGCTCAGCAGGAGGCGAGATGTCCCAGGACTCTGCCCGGGAGCGCCTGTCTCCCGCCTGCTTGCCTGGTCCCTGTGCGTGGACTCAGCATGCTGATCCGGGTGACGTGGTTTCTGTGAACGGAAGTTCTTGGTGTTGCAAGATGACAGGCTGAACGTCACAAGCTTAGGCATGTACTTGTTTGCATCTGACGAAATGGCAGACACGGAGGTGGAGTCAAGTCTGCAGCCGGGAGCGTGTCTCGCTGGAGGTCCTCCTGTCTGCTTTCCCGGCCTGCGGCTTAACTGCACAGGGGCTCTCTGGGCTGTTCTGATGCAATAAAACAAGCTAAGGCCGCCTGCTGGTCATGCCCGAGTAATACATGCACGTACCTGCTTTCCCTCCATAGTAAAGTCTAGACTCACTTAACAGAATGCTTGTTGCCTAATTGGCCCCGTCACCTGATAAAACCAGAACTGGACTGGAAATCTTCCTGGGGGGTTGCCGCAGGCAGTTTCTGCTTAAATTGGCTTATCTGAGAAAGCACTTTAGTGCCTGGTCTGCCAGGGATCTGATCTGCATCTCGGCTCACTTACCAGCTTCTATGGTGGTGAATATTCTGAAGCAAAACCTGCCCAAGGTCTCTGTCATAAAGGGGTGTTGGGATTTAAACCCCAGATCTGGTTCCTAGCCCTGTAAGAACCGGTGATATGGCTGGGCGCGGTGGCTCACGCCTGTAATCCTAGCTCTCTGGGAGGCCAAGGCGGGCGGATCGCTCAAGGTCAGGAGTTTGAAACCTGCCTGAGCAAGAGCAAGACCCCGTCTCTACTATAAATAGAAAGAAATTAGTTGGCCAACTAATATATATATAGAAAAAATTAGCGGGTCATGGTGGCGCATGCCTGTAGTCCCAGCTACTGGGGAGGCTGAGGCAGGAGGATCGCTTGAGCCCAGGAGTTGGAGGTTGCTATGAGCTAGGCTGACGCCACGGCACTCACTCTAGCCTGGGCAACAAAGACTGTCTCAAAAAAAAAGAACCAGTGACATAAGGGTTGTAGAAACACCTTCCTCATCCCAGCTCACCTTGCTGTCAACTGCTGCTTCCCTACTTCCTCGTGAACAGGTGGCCGACACCTTGTGCTCTGTCCTCCCGGATAACTCGCCTGTCTTCCTCTCCAGCTTGCTTATTTGACTCTTCCCACTTCAGTCTTGACTGGTCTTTGTGAACAGGCTGCAGGTCTGTATAAAGACGGCGCTACCAACACACCAGCCCTCGTTTCCTTGTTAGCGTATTCCAAGCAACAATCTCGCAGCTCGATTTGGTCCTTTCTGTTAATTCTGATGCTTCATGAATCGAAGTGTCTACTGCCCTAATCCCGGAAAGGTAGAGCTTGGTTGCACCAAGGACAGCAGTAGATCCATGCCTCCAAGCTCATCCCTGACTTCCATCGTATTCCTGAAGCTGCCCAACGTCACAGCGGGGAGGAGGAAGGAACCAGAAGAAACAGGGTTGATGGGCGATCTTAGTCAGCTTAGGCTTTCCTCAAGCAGCTCTTGCTGTTCTTGGAACAGAAGCTGCTCCTTGCTTTCAGTCTGGAAAGCGCGTAGTGACAGCCATGCCAGGGTAGCCGGCAGAGTTGAGATCGGCTTGCTCCTCGGTCTTGTATGTCTTCTCCCCATCTCTTCCTTGTTAGACTCACCAACTGCAGTAGCCACCGTATTTCAAGATGAAGTCCACCCATCGAGTCCCTGACCCTTTGAGTCGGTCCCACTGGTGCCTCTAGTCACTCAAGTCAGGCCTGCAGTCTCTAGCAGCAAGGACTCCAGGATGAGCCCTGGAGTAATGGGGCAACGGGGCTCATGTCGAGTGAGTTTGAAGAATGTTTTCAACAATGGGCTCCGAACGTCAAAGCTCAACTTGGAATGACTATGAACAACTTGTCCTAAGAAGGAAGAAAAGTTTGGGGTGAGTTTTTCACCAGCTCAGCAGGGACTCCAGGAGAGGCCCGTGGTGATGGGACTCACGAGAGAAACTCCTCAAACTCACTCGATGTGAGTTCAGCTGACTGTGAAAGTTCAGCTTCGAACAGCTGACCAACTTGTCCTAAGGAGAAAAGCTTGGGGTGACTTTCTGACCAGCTCAGCAGGCAGCCACGGCTCGCCTGTGCTCTTAAAGACAGCATGGGCTGGGTGCGGTGCTCACGTCTGTGATGTGATCCTAGCACTCCGGGAGGCCGAGGCGGGAGGATTGCTCCAGGTCAGGAGTTCGAGACCAGCCTGAGCAAGACCGAGACCCGTCTCTACTATAAATAGAAAAAAATTGATTGGCCAACTAATATATATAGAAAAAATTAGCCGGGCATGGTGGTGCATGCCTGTAGTCCCAGCTACTCGGGAGGCTGAGGCAGAAGGATCACTTGAGCCCAGGAGTTTGAGGTTGCTGTGAGCTAGGCTGACGCCAGGGCACTCTAGCCTGGGCAACAGAGCGAGATTCTGTCTCAAAAAAACAAAACAAAAGCAAAAAACATGGAACTGAGAGCAAGCATCTTGTCTAACTGACTCGAAATACACCTATCCCCACGCCACTGTGGTGAAGCTCCCACTCTCAAGCGGGGGATGACCCTTTCTGCTCCATAAGAGCAGAACTGGTCACAGGTCCACGGCTTGCCCTCCATGACTGCCCACGCCCCGTTGGTAGACTCGTGCGGAGCTCTGACTGGCCGGGCTTTGTAACGCTTTGGAATGTTCCAGGAAGACGCTGTGTGTGGCCCTGAAGAGGGGCCCGAGCCCACCAACACCAGGCCACACCTCAGCCGCCCACCTCCCTGCGGCTTTTGCTTTGTTGCCTGGACTTCCCCTAACCTCTTCTAGGGTAATGCTTTCAGGGTTGACACTGACATTTATCAACGCGATCCCTCTATCCCTACTGCCCAAGGCTAATTATTCTCACTTAACATATTTGTGAATGGGTAAGAGCTGGAAATCTTGGGCAGAGACTGGCTTTGAAGAAAAACCTTTTCCCGCCAGTAACATCACCTGTGCTTCGATAAATAGGACAGGGAAATGGCCAACTTCCTGGGCAGTCCATAGCCCTTATGCAATGAGCTATACGGCTGGACCAGCCTAGACGAGAGAACTTCAGACTGTCTGCCATGGACCGGTACTTTGGCATTTTTGATTTGTTTATCGTATTTTATAAATTCTGCTATATCTAATGGAAATTGCACTTCAGCAAACAAAACAAATATAAATAAACGTACACATGGTTCGCCAAAAACATACAGGAGACTAACACAGCTGTGACTGCAGAAGGCTAGTTATCTAGGCTCCAGAGCCGGGCCTGAGTGGGAGCTTTCCAGACCATCTTCTGGCTGCATGACCTGGCTGCAAAATCAGTTCACCAAATGAAGCCTCAGCTGTCTCGCTAGAAACAGATACCAAGGTCGTTGGAATGAAACAAAATACGTGCAGGGTATTTTGCACGGAACCAGGACATGGTTGATCACCCAGAGGTGGGGGGTGATCATTTCTTGGCCTGACAAAGGACTTGGTTTGCAACTATAATTGTCCAAAATGAACCTTTGATAACAAAGGGAGTTGAGGTCAGAAAGAGTGGCTGACATCCAGAGCCTACACAGCAAGGGCTGTTCCTGGCACCCAGCTACCGGCTCCAGCCCCTGCAGGAGGAGAGGGCTGCGTCGTGCTCATCGCAGCCCACTGTGCTGGGCTGCCACGTGGGAAGGTCTGCTCGAGGGTGCTGCTCTGCTTGTCTGTAAGAACATAAACGTGTCCTTGAGGGTGGAGAAACCTTGCTTAGAAGTAAGCAGTAAATTGTCTCGGGCCACACTCTCCACTCTGGGAAGCTTAGATCAACCTCATTCTGCTTAAATGAGTAAACATTGCTGGGGAACGCAGGGGAGGGGACAAGAAAAGAGGACCCTGGCTCTCACTGTCTAGAGGGTCCCATCTTGGCAGGTGAAGCCTGTAAGCCCTAACCAGGACTTCTGGCCGACTGCTTCTTACTGTAGAGCTAAGAGTGTCACAGGCGTGCGGTGATCGTGGAGCATGGTCTCCTCGCTCTATACAGACCTGAGTTTTAACAACGGCTCCTGTGCTCTTCTGCATGTGTTCTAAGCTCTCTTCCTGAACACCGTCCCTGAGAACTGGGGCTCTGTTCAGATCGAAGTCCTCCAAGATTGGCAGCTCGTAGTGCACGATTTATCCAAAAGTGAGTGTGCCTGAGACACCTTTCTGCGCGGGGCGCGTCCTCGTCAGTCCTGGTCCAGTCTATCCTACCGCTGCACTCGGCCACGAACTGGTTCCGACCGGGGTAGGTTACTTCACTCAAGGCTCACATTGGTTATCTATAAAATAAGAGATTAAAGTTCTCATCTAAGACTCAAAATTGAGCTGATCTTGGGTTTCCTTTGGCTTGGAAGGTACCAAAAGGCAAGTCGAAAAATGGCAAACAAAAACTCTTGACCTGGCAATGCATCATCATGGCATAAAGAGGAGTCGTGTCTTAGTAATTCTACCCTGCTCAAAGCGGTGGGTATGAGTTGCAACGGAGAGCCCATCTCTGCAGCCTGCCTCAGCAATGACCGCTGCGACTGGATCTCTTTTCCATATCGAGCTTTCCTTAAGTTGTCACTTGAACAAAGGTTTCTACCCTGAAGTTTGGAAAGCCCCTGTGTGGCAGGTATGGTAAAGATCAGCCTTGATTAAATGGGCCAAGATTCCCTAGGGTCCCCTTTGCAGGGTTGTCTTGTGTTCATAACGAGGGCTGGACAAGGGGCATGGGATCCCAGGTGCCCTCAAGGGAGGTGTCCTCAAGCCAGTGCTGCAGCTGGCTGCTTTAGAGGCAAGAAGCTGAAGGATTCCCGAACAAGGTGTTGTCGCTCTGCCCTTACAGGGGGAAGGAAGGGATGAGGCTCCCAGGCAAATCGGGAAGGAGAAGCAGTGAGAGGTGGGCCACTCCCTGCCTAGGTCTGGGGAAGATGTGAAGGCCAAGACCATGGTTTGGATGGTGCCAGGACACCAGGAGTGAGCAGCTGGCAGGGGAATGGCAGGAAGAGCAGGCTCACACCCACGTGGCTGTGTGTTGTGTGGTGCCGACCGCGTCACATGACCTGCCTGGACTGCACACACTCCTTGCAGCAGGGGCGTCGGCCAGGCTTATGTCAAGGGAAAGGAGCCAGGGAGGGGTGTAGTGAGTGCATTGGAGCACTCTGGCGGCAACTGTAAGAAAAATCAAGTGTCTGCTTCTGTTAAGACGTTTTGCGGGAGTTGATCATCGGGTCCTTGGATAAAAGATGGCATATTCAAGAAAGGAACCCAGTGGGTTACTAAGGTTACGACTGGTCTGTCTACTCGGCAGTCTTGGCACACGTATCATGTCTACAGAACTGTCTTGTCCGTGGTTATCAACTTTAAAGTGTGGGATAAAAGTTGGGAGTTAAAGTTATGGAAAGACTCAGATCTTTGTCCTAGAAACTAGAGCTAGATGCGAGCAGCTGATTGAAGTTTCTTGCCTTCCGGGAAGGGAGTGTGAAGGCCTCACGTGCGTGGTGCCCATGGGGCTGTGGATGTCGGGCGCCTCAAACGGGGGGGGGGGGGGGGCGGGGTGCCTTGTGTAGTTGGGCACGTGCAGTCTGGAAGCTCCTTAAAAACAAAACTATGGTCACAAGGTGGTCCCCGTTAAGTTGGAACCGCCTACTGGAAACACCAGGATGTGCTCTTCTACTCTCTGCTTTCTTCTATGTCCCCTTTCTCGATCCTCATCCGAGGGAGGAGGACTGGGGTGGGCTAAAATGAGACAGGGGGACAGCTCACGGGACATGCGTGGCTAAACTTCTGTCATCTCAGTGTGGTCTGCTCACATAGTCCTCGGAGTTGCTGTTCTGCCTCGTGAGTCTGGGTGAGCTGTTCTCCGAATCGGGTCTCTTCCCCTCGTAGAAGGCTCGCTTGGCCTAATTCAGGGGACCGTTTCTTTCGAGCTTGGTCCCCTGATCCGGTGTATCTAACACAGGCTGATCTCATCCTGTCTGACTTCAGGTCTGGTTCTCTACTGGTTCAGACACACATGGGGACAGTGAGGTGAATGGTGTCCCACAACACCAGCCTGGGCTCTGGCGGGTCGTGCCGCCGCCCCGGGCAGTCTCGTGGCTGCACGCCAGCCACGTACGGATCGCTCCGCACCGGTGTGCGGGGAGTCGCCGGCGAGGCTGTGGGGTTCAAGGCTTCCAGGTGCCCCCGACGGGGCATGGCATTGCCAGACCAGTGGGGTCAGACTCCCCTTCTTGGTCAACCCCTCACCAAGAGGACCTAGGGAATTTTGGCCAACTCGGTTGAACGTCAATTCCAATCTTGACCACAATTACACAGGCGTCTTTCCAAGACGCGCGGGGCAAAGCCTCCCCTGGATTTCGCTCTGCTTCTCGCGGTCTGTGGTTCGGGCAGGGTCGGATACAGGGCTAGGGCCCACGTGCAAAGGCAGGTAGTGCTGGCAGGAGTGGAAGAAACTGTCAGTTTGGGTCCTCTTGGAGCTTTAAAAGAAGACTCGAGGGTAATGCCTGTGGAAGGAAAAAGGAGATGGGACAGGGGCAGGCAGGTGGTCCTTGGGCCTCGAGGTAGGTGTGACACCTTCGGAGGGAAGAACAAGGGGAGCCTCAGACATGGAGCGGGGCTGGTACAATCTCGGTAGGCCAAGGGAGCTATGCAGTGTCTCGTGAGGAGCCTGTCCAGGTGTGCGGTACAGAAAGCTCTTTGTACCCAGCCTTGTCACACCTGTCCACGTTCCTCTACCCAGACCTTGTCCCTGATCTTGGTCCTCTCTTCTAGCTGCTGACAACCAGGCCACTGAGTGCCATCCGTGTACACGCTCACCTCGAGTTCTTTGTCCTTTCTACAAAGCTAGACCACCAGGTATACTCCTTGAGAGCTTCTATCTACTGGGAGCCGGACCATACATTTGGTTTGAAGCTTGTGGTGGCCTAATCATCCTCCAGTACCTGATTAGCTTCTGCATGGGCTAGAAGGTGGCGTTAAACTGAGATAGATTAAAAACCACCACTTGCTCTTTGCACGCCTCTCTCTCTCTTTCTGTGCGCTGGGCTGGCTGGCCGCGGCAGCGTACAGTCGCGGTGTTCCTGGCGCCCGCTGCGGAGCCCAGGGGAGCGGCCTGCGGCCCGTGCCCGGGCGCCTCGGAGCCCGCTGGGGAGGGGACTGCGGGCCTCGGCTTTCTGTGTGAACAGCCGTTGCAGAGTAGTTCGCGAGGTCTGCCTGTATCTGTGTGAACAGCCGTTGCAGAGTAGTTCTCGAGATCTGCCTGTATCTGTGTGAACATGTTGCAGAGTAGTTCTCGAGGTCTGCCTGTATCTGTGTGAACATGTTGCAGAGTAGTTCTCGAGGTCTGCCTGTATCTGTGGAACATTTGCAGAGTACGTTCTCGAGTCTGCTGTATCGTGTGAACATGCCTATGCAGTAGTTCTCGAGGTCGCCTGTATGTGTGAACATGTTGCAGAGTAGTTCTCGAGTCTGCTGTATCTGTGTGAACATGTTGCAGAGTAGTTCTCGAGTCTGCCTGTATCTGTGTGAACATGTTGCAGAGTAGTTCTCGAGGTCTGCCTGCATCTGTGGGAACATGTTGCAGAGTAGTTCTCGAGGTCTGCCTGCATTGTGTGAACATGTTGCAGAGTAGTTCTCGAGTCTGCCTGTATCTGGTGAAATGTTGCAGAGTAGTTCTCGAGGTCGCCTGTATCTGTGTGAACACGTGCAAAGTCTTCTCGAGTCTGCTGTATCTGTGTGAACAGTTGCAGAGTAGTCTCGAGTCTGCCTTATCTGTGTGAACATGTTGCAGAGTAGTCTCGACGTCTGCCTGTATCTGTGTGAACATGTTGCAGAGTAGTTCTCGAGGTCTGCCTGTATCTGTGTGAACATGTTGCAGAGTAGTTCTCGAGGTCTGCCTGTATCTGTGAACATGTTGCAGAGTAGTTCGCGAGGTCTGCCTGACGCCACTGCTTGGAACTGACCTAGGTCAGGTTGGGGAACTCAGCTGGAGTCGCCCGACCTCTGCTGACTCGTTGGTTTCTTTTCAAGCTTCCGATCCTCGCAGCACCATAATGGAGTTTTAAGACATCTATTGGCGTGGTGTTCTTGAATAAAGAATGAGAGTCTGGAAGCCCAGCCGGGGCAGTGCCCATTCACAGATTCTACGCTAACCTCTTGGCCAAAGACCTAAAGTTTGGAGCCTACTCCTTTGGGGACTTGCTGTTGGGAAGGCTGTGATGCCCAGATGACGGTTCCTAATGCGTGACCTGCAGGCTGTGCCGAGTGGGGAGCCATGCCCTTTCCCCCGTTCGCTGTGGATTTTGCTGATACTAAGGATGTCCTCTAGTTGTGTTGAGCAGATCCTAGGAACTTCTTTCCTGTATTAACCTGTGTGAACAGCTATAATCTTGGAGAAAAGATTACCTAGAAATTTGGGGGCACTTACCTGCCAAGTAGATAGCTTTCACTTGCATTTGCTTTATCTTGTGCAACAATCTGTTTTTTTCTGAAAGACTCCAATAAAATATTTTAAAAAACAACCACCAACTCTGATAGTTAAGCATGGCACTAAGCTTAGCCACCCTCCATAATAAGGATGTGATATTTTTTATCTTGGCTGGGGTGTAGGGACGGTTTCAGAAGCTTCCAGGCAGCCATGTACACGGTGATGCCTCTTCACATACCAAGGACCTGCTGTGGATGTGACTTCAAGTGACAAGCATGCTAATTTCAATCAGGTGTGAGGACTCACCCAGAAGTTGATCCCCGTGGTATAGTAGACCAGCTGTCAGTCAAACATCAACCAGAAATCCACTTACCACTTGACCCCTCTGTCTGCATCTTAACATGTGGCCAATAATGCTTTTTGGTCTTCTGATACCAATGTAAGTTCAGATCTCAAGCCCACCAGTTCCTGAATTTCCATTACTCAGTGTATTAATGTAACTAAATGGCTACAGGAACGAGCTGCCTCTGAGCACCCTTGTCTGCCCAGGTGACCTGTCCCCAGGTGACCTTTCCCCAGCTGGACCTGTAGCGCTGCTAGCACTAGAGCCCCAGCTTCTGGGAACAGCGGAAGATAGAACTGTATCTGTTTAGGCCCAGTGTGGGGACAGTGACAGTGTCCAGTGACTGTTAGCTAAAGTCAGTGGCAAGGGGGAGGGCGGGCGGGCCGCAGAGAGAAGTCCTGGTGTTTCTCCATGCCAAATGAGAAGGCCCAGAAAAAGTGCGTGCTGTGCCTGCAGAACAAAGTTTGCGGAGAGCTGCTGTTTGGTGTCGCCAGTGCCAATCTGGAGAGGATTCTTGTAGGATGTGTTTGCACTTGACAAATGTAAGGGAAGACATTGGGTGACTTCAGGCAAGAAGTGTTGTGGTCACACTTTTCCATATCCAACATTACAGCAACACTTTCAAGCAGAAAAACTACCACTGGGTATTGGAGTAGTTGTCGTGAGAGTAAGTAATCATCATGACTGCCTTCTAGGGTTCTGGCACGGACACACCTGTGCACGGCGGGCGCTGCTAGCTGAGGATGTGGCGCAAGTCTAGGAGGGAGAAGAGCTGCTGCTGTCCCACCTGCCCTTATGACTGAGGCCTGGTTACAAATCTAGCTGGTGATGGGTGGTACCAGGTGGGATGTCATCTGAGATCTCACGTTCAAGACCCAGTCCACACTGGGTCCAGTAGTTCTAAGTCATATTTCTCCTAAACTGGAGAGCAGTTTGCTGCCATAGGTGCTTTGCTCTAGAACCCTGGGGCATGCTACGGCTTGTTTCCCAGAGACTTCATGCAGTGTCTTTATGCTTCGCAAGAACCTCTGACACTGTGACCTGTTAGGTTAATGTAGCCTGAGGAACAGGACACCATCTGCTTCAGCTGGAACTGATGTTTTCCTCCTGGACTAAGAATCAGTGAGCTTACTACTAGATGCTTCTAAAACCGTGGTGTAGACAGCTTTCTCAAGATGAACCCCTTGTAGGGTGTCCAGCCTTTCTTGAAAACTCAAATGCCTCACTGGCTTCCTTAGGCTCTTACTTTCAATGCCAGATGCCTCAAGGTGTATCTGCATTCTCTATTCCAAACTTGGGAATCTGAATGTGGTTCGGACTCGCTGCACCGAGGGCAGAGAACTCTTCCTGTGGGTTGTTGCCCTGGTGCATTCTTCAGGGGTGACAGATCCATGTCAAACTAATCCTAGGGGATCCTTTAGCTGCTGCCAAGGAAATCAGATCCCATGCATAGTGGCATGATACCTCCTCCTGGAGCGGTAGGAATAGGGGGAAGACTGTTTGTGGGATTGGGAAGTCTCAGGTTGAAGCTGTGCAGCCTCTAGAAGGAATCTTGTGCCAATGTGTCTGAGCAAGTGGCCTTAGAGTGCCCAAGAGGTGAAGGTGAAAACCTGAGCAGGTGCGTGTCACCTGTATCTGGTAGAGCACCCAAGGTTAACTGTGTTCTCACTGAGACCTCACAGCCATCTCAGGGGCTCGTACCTACCACACCATGGTTAAGTCCCACATGACCCCAGGGTTTACCCTAGAACTTGGGAGGCTGCCAGCTAGACCAGGACTTGCATCTGTTGAGCTTGGGCAATACCCATTGTGGAAATGTCTAGTCGTACACCTTGTCCTCCTGCTCCAGCTTCTATCTCCCTTCTAATGTGCCTTTAGGAACTCAGTTTTGGACCAGTTACCCTTCGACCGTCAAGATTGCTCAAGTTGCCTACAAACCTAAACTCTCTGCAGGGGAGTTGCTTGTTACAGAGCTGGGGAAAGGCGGGGGCTTAGTAGCTTCCTAGGCAGCCAACTGTGGTTCTCAGGTTCATTCAACCTAATGTTCTCAGAGGAGAAGCTTCCTTGTTGAAGCCCTTGCTAATAACCTTTTTTCAACTATTACCCAATATGATCGAGCAGCCTAGAGATGGAATGAAGATCGAGGCAGCGAAGGGATCCTCTCTCCCCAGGCCCTGCCACCATCTTGGGCTGTCCTAATACTCACGGGGTGACCCGCCCACCAGCTTGTCAGTTTTGCAGCCTGGAGCTTGAGGCTGCATGCCCGCGCTTCGGGCTGGGCGGCTCTTCACGGGCATCCTGTGTGCTGTGGAGTGTCCAGCACCCTCACCCTACCTAGGTGCTAGTCGCACCCTTTCCCTGCCGGCAAATCGGTGTCCACAGACACCACCAAATGTGCTCTGGGGGCAAGACGTCCCCTGTTTGAGAAATACTGCTTTGGGGCACCTGCAGCCAACTGAGTTATGGCTGTCTTCTGTAGCCACGGCCCCACTGCACAACTGAGTTATGGCTGTCTTCTGTAGCCACGGCCCCACTGCACAACTGAGTTATGGCTGTCTTCTGTAGCCACGGCCCCACTGCACGACTGAGTTATGGCTGTCTTCTGTGGCCACGGCCCCACTGCACGACTGAGTTATGGCTGTCTTCTGTGGCCACGGCCCCACTGCACCACTTACCCGAGAAGTCTTGGTATCATAAACGCAGATCGGTGTTCTACTTGGATCTGACCTCTGTCCTTCTAGATAATGTCCCTATTCCCAAAGCACGTCCTTAGGCCTCTGACCTCTAGACCATAGATCTTTTCTCCCTCCAACCCCTTGTCCTAGTTTTCTTTCTTGCTTGGATCTCGTCTGTATCCCCTTTACATGCTTATCCGCTGGCGATTCATCTTGAGGCATCTCGCCTGACAAACGTGGACGTTTCAAACCTGGCTACGACACGGAAGCCAACACAGACCTCTGCTGCTGCCCCACCCTGGCTTGTCTTGGTCTGGACATGCCTGCTAGACGCTGGTGTGAGCTGCACACCAGGACCTCTGCTGTCACTAAACAGCAGACCCAGCAAGCCATGTTTTGTCTGCATTTAGCCAGCTCTGTGGCAATGTGCTGTATAGTAGGAAGGACCCTGTGGAGCTGCTGAGACAGGTTCCTCTTGGAAAAGCTTGTTTCATAGTACAGGGGAACCTCTTCCAATATACCCTCCCAAAGGCAATATTGGGTTACCCTAGAGCCCAGCCAGGCACTGCCAGGGTTGGAATAGTCTGTTGCAAACTGGGGTTGGCATGATTGCTTAGTCTGCCAGCAAGCAGAGTCGAGACCATCTCCCAGGTCGTACGGGGCCCCTCATGTGCTAGGGTCTTATACAGTTGGACCTGTCTTTCCAGTGTAGACAGATTCTAAACTCTAACCTCCAGGGAACTAGGGCCGCAATGTCTACTGCGAACTCAGTGAGCTCACTCCCAAGGCTCTTGCAGCATAGCGAGAGGACTGTCTTCACTCTGCTGTGGCCTGTCCTCAGTCACTGCTGTGAACTCTATACCGTGCTGTCCCTGGGCTCGACTAGTTCCAGCCGGCGGAAGTGTGCAGCAGGGCCTAGTTCAGGGAGCTGCTCAAAGAACGGCCACCTCCATGATCTTGGAGGCCAGATGCTGTCCCACTCAGAAGGGGAATGCCAGACTGGAGTGAATTAGAACAGGTATGATGGGATTTCACTTTCCAAAATGCCTCTTCTGTGGCCAGAGCCTCAAAGAAAGGGGGGAGCTCTCTAAATCCTCCAGTCTGCAAGCGACAAGCTCCCTGCACCCTCGAGGCAAATGTTTCTTCCGCTCGGGTGGATGCAGCCTCCGCCGTCGCCATGGCAGCGGTGCCTCCCCGCCAGTGGGTGTCCGGCTGCATGCCACACAGATCCCGGAGGATGATGGAATCTGGGCGGATGTTTCCATCAAGCATTCCCAATATCAAAGGTGTCAAGTAGAAACAACAGGGGTCAGCAAGGTCACCTAGAGATAAGACACCTTGCAGATGCTGGGGGCCACCTGAGGCGTCCTCCCCAGGACCCCAAATGTCATGGCGACAGCGTTGGAGCCCAGTGGCCTGGACACACACAGGCCAGAGAAATACCCAAAGAACACCGAGAATCAAGGTGAGCTCTATGGCTTACGTAGAGAGAGGTGACTGTACGACCAAATGTCTCCGTGAAGCCACACACAGCCGCGCTGCTTCGCTGGCATGGGCACAGGAACACTGGTGAACCGAGACCAAGCCAGAGCACTCGCAAGCAAGGCGCTGGGAGATCCCTCCTGTGAGCCCCGCGCCGCTCCACCCCCGCGCCCCGCGCCGCTCCACCCCCCGCACCCGCGCTCACCTGTGCTGCAGGACACTGCCTTGGCCATTCCTCACTCCTCAGCTCGATGCGAACGTGCTTGGAGACGACGCTGAAACCCAGAGCCAGTCTCTGCTTCTCCCAACAAGGTTCTTGTGGGAAGAATGGCCCATTTGTCGTGCCTGTTTGTATAATCTCTGCCAGTGGTATTCACAGGGAGGAAAGAATCCCCAAATCTATTACTTTGAAATACCCGACATGAGCCTGCCCTTCTGTTTGATTGAATTTTACTTGGCAAACTATTCAAGGCATACAACATGTGCCAACATACCACGATCAAGCTGCTACATCACATCATAGTGATGTATTACTCTTGTAATGAGAGCACTTTGTCTACTCTGTATCATAATGTATCAAATATAGGGTACATTAACTACAGGTTCCATGCTGGATACTAGGTCTCCAGAACGAACTTGAGCCTTCCTTTATTAGGGAAGGTAACTCTCTGAAATGGAGCTTATACAACTCCAGGAGTCGAGGCATTCGGAATGCAGGCAGACCAAGCTGGCCCTGCTGCTGCAAACCTGCTTTCCAAGCCGAATCGGAGCTGCTGGTTACTCGGCAAACCAAAGCAGCATGTCCAACTGCGATGCACATTGCTCTCAAAAGCACAGAGGGCATACCTCGCATCGTTCCCCTCTGAAAGCAGTAAGCCATGTTCCAGAACATGATAACAAGGACCCTTCACTTCATCCGAACTCCTCCCTGGAGCATGTTTCACTACCATCGAGACATGCACCTGCACAGCTCCATCCGAGCCTCCGCTACCACAGCCAGTTCATCCTGCTGGTCTTCCTGCACAAGCTCCCGGTCGGCCCGGACTGATGCTGGCTCTTAACACTGACGCTCTGTCTCTGGTGCAAGCTTGACTGCCTGTGAGGCAGCTGTGAGCCTGGTGTTCTGAGCCCGTCTGTCTTCAGAGCCAGTTGTCCACCCAATAACAACCTGATCTTCAGGGACACTGCACACCTCGTTAGATCCCCAGAGCCGATGACAGACTCCCATGGTGGCTGCCGTAGTAGATGAGGAAGCAAGTGAAAAATGGCCTTTTGCAGTAGCTCACAAGCCTCTTAATGCTCCTGTGTTCTGGGAGGCTCACGAGGGTGTTCGGCCAAGAGTAGCATTGCGTGTGGTTCGAGTCTTGCCTTATGTGGCGAGGTTGTTAGGTACCGACCCAGGGCTGCTAGTCCGCATGCGCTAACTATCACAATGGCTCTGAAAGCTACAGTGTGTTTGTTTAGTGTCTAGCTCCTAAAATGTCTAAGAGCCTTAAAGTTTTCCTATGCTTGTTGCAAGTATGCTTTTACAGGGAATTCACAGAATGTCATTCTTCAAACAAGTTGCAAAGCAAGTTGCAAAGCAAGTTGCCTAAGGCGACAGTGAATGAATGGGACTGACTGACTGAGGTCTAACTTCATCTGTGCTTCTCCCACTTTTCCCACCTTCAGTTCGTACAGCTAGCCTTTCCAATTCATTCTCTCACCTGTCTCACAGCAATATACAAATAACTAAGACTTCCATATTTCGACTTTGAATTGTTTCTGCTTTGGCTTCTTTGCAAGCAGATCTCGAGATAAGGGCTTCAGTGGGTCACTTGGGAGACTATTGTAGGAGAACCCGGGTGAGAGTTGGGAAGGTGAGACAGTGGACTGAATAGAACCAATAGAGGCATCTTAATGAAACTGCTACGGGCAACTGGTACAATCCCACTGGGGACTGAGAAATGGCAGATGATACGCCCGAGTTGTTCCACTGAGGAACGGGAAGCTGGAGCACTAGCCACGCAATTGCTGTCTCCTGCTCACTGGTCATCTTTGCAAGAAGGCTAAGTAAGCAGGCAGGCTGAGAACTCAGTGCTGGAGAAAGCCCTTGGGTGGTGAAGCAGAGATGGGAATCCGAGACTGTTCTGCAGCTGTAGGTGAGGTTGGGGTTGAGGGGATTTGGGACGAAACGTCAGAATTGATCACCCACGTCTTGAATGAACTTGGATTGGATACTCATGTATCTGCAAGCTACAATCTCTAAAGTGACTTATAAATGGTGCGTTTGGTTGCAAGTTACATCCTGTGCTCAGGCTTGTCGGCCCAGGGGTGTGACTGATACTGGTTTCTGTTGCTCATGAGTCACCCTTGTCCTTGGCCAACATTTCTGCTTGAAGTGGAGCGACTCACACTTTCGTCCCTTAGTCTGAGCCCCTGGCTGACTTGTCCTGGTTGGGCCATGGTTGCTGCAGTTCTGATAACTCTGAGCACAAAGATGCTTTCCTGTAAATCCCGAATTCTAGATATACTAATCCCTGCCACTGTGTGTATAAGTAACCCGAACTTGTGATGACAGGGCTGATGCCCATCAGTGGAGCAGACCCATACTGTCCCTGCTGGACTACTGGCCCAAGGAATCCAACAGAGCCACAAAGTGCCCAGACTCCTGAGTTGGTTGGAACCCTGACTGTGGCTTCTGGAAGCTTCCTTAAATCACAGAAGACACCTGATTACTAAAGCACAATGTCAAGTGGGTCCTTGGGAATGATGATGAAAGGCGTTAGAGTGACTTGTGCCACTGTCACCAATGCATAAAACGTGGGCCTGGGAGCGTGATATGGCTGCTGGCTGGACTTGCTGGTAGCATTCTGGAGGACATTGCACTACTACTAGGCTGGCATGTTAGGATGCAAAAATGCCTTCCTGAAGACACCCATAGGACCAGTTTCTGAGTGATGGGGGTGTATACAGCAGGACCAGTTGGACATGTGTCCACTGTCTCGGCTCCTTGGCTGTAAAATGAGTCCCTCTGCTCTAGGCAGTGCTGTTCAGGCTCCCGACTGCTCAGCACTGCTTCTACAGGGGATGCCGCCATCGAGACACAGGCAGGGTCTGTGCCTAATCCCTTGAGGTAGGTCTGCGTGCCTCTGTGTTCCTGGGCTTCCTTTCTTTCCCCCTGACATTTAAATCCTGTCCCTTCCGGCCCCTGACGACTCCAAAGATGGAAAACGGGAGCCATGAGCCAGGGAATACAGGCAACTCATAATGGCTGGAGGCGTCAGGCTGGATTTGAATCTCCTAGAAACTCAAGAAGCCCTGCTAACGCCTGTTTCAGCGCAGTCAGACTCACTCCAGATCTGACTCCAGAACTGCAGAACTTGTTCTACTTACAGCTCAGCTGCAGTTTGTGTTGCTAGACTTGGTGTGCTCTATCAAAACCTAACACATTATGAAGTGGCTTAACTTGTTAAAGCAGCAAGAGCAAACTCATACCTGTTACACACTAGGCTCGGTGATCCCTGTCAATGCCAGGAGAGTCCTGCTGGGCTGGAGTGTTCTGCTGAGGAATGGCCAGCCACTGCCTCTCTACCTCCTGCCGGCGCCATGCCACGGCTCGTCCAGAAACGGGAAGCCTCACGATGGCAGTCACGGCTGTGGCTGCTTTCTGCTGGGAAAGCCTCAGCCAGTTCACAAGCATGAAGCTGCGTTGCGTGGGCCGGAGTGGCTCCGCCCCGCTGCGCCCCGTGGATGTGGCTGCTCCAGTTCCCTGGCCCCTGCACGGTCGCAGCCCATACGTCCTGCATACCACCAGCTTGGATCAGCGAATCATGCCAGCTTGACAACTGAAAACCAACTGTGAACGTGAAAACCTTCAGATCAGTTGTGCACACCTGTTGATGGTTTCACTCACATGAGAGTGATATGAAAGCCTTAAGTTGTTCTGTTATCGAGCTCAAATATGGTACATCTTACGATCGGTGAACAGCCTCATGTGGTGGTCCAGTTGTTGGACGGCTAAGCCTCTTCAACTAACGGAAGTAACTTAGTCCCCGGCGGAACGCCGTGAGGGGCAGATCCGTAAGGCTGGAAGCGCTGGGGGCTGTCACGAATGTCCAGCGAGACCAAGTAATGCCTTCGTTTCAGGTCAGGCTCCTAAGAAAAACAGACCATGAGGCGTCTGGGGAGCAGTCTAGTGCATGCCCAGGCGAAGCCGGTGGCAGCGTTTGGGGAAGCGGGGCAGAGGCCCCCAGAAGCCAAGCGAAGCAGATCTCAGGCAAAACCCTGTGCCCTCTGTGGGCTCCTCAGTCCGCGGACCCCACGGGAGAGCCTCGGTTGTGTGCATCTTCTGTACCCGACAGGCCTGCGGCCGTGGCAGCCCTGGTCTGGGGGTGAACCCTCAGACGCTGGCTCCTCGGCGCGCAGGCAAAACTGGGCCGGGCTCCGAGAGCCGAGTGAGAGCCGACGGAAGGCGGGCCTGGCGGTAGGCGCGGCAGTGGGGCCAGGTGGGGGAGGGGTAAAAAGGCTCCAGGGTCTGGTACAGCCTCAGCACGATTCACTAACGACTTGTGGTAGGAAGAAAGAACCAAGGACAGGTGGCCGGCAGGCACCCACTGCCTCTGTTTTAAGTAACGGCTCTGCTGCACGCCTGTCCTCAGCACGTGGCCCCTCGTGGCCGCAGGCTCAGCTGTGGGCTTCATCCCTCGACAAAGCTGTTCCAGGGTAGCCTGGCAGCTCTGCGCGCTCCTCCATAGGTGCGACTCGGCATCTTTGCAAGATGCTCCGAGGTCTTGCCTAGAGAGTGGGCCGAGAATTTCGGGAGCCCCAAAGCTGGATCCGCCACTGCCAGGGGGTGCAGCCTCCAGGCTCAGCGGGGTCACCGTGGGGGTGAGGTAGACAGACGGGCACAGAAACTTCTTGCTGTACACCGGGCATTCCTTGCACTGCCTCCTGGCAGGGACACTAATCTTAATCTAAAGATCTCACCTGTCGCTGTGGTTCTGGTTAATTCTCTGGTGGATGCCAAAAAGAAGGGCTGGCTCTGGAGCAAGTTTGAGCGTTCTGCGTTAAAGGCTTATGGTCTTATGCTTGGTCTGTTTGGCTGAATATAAAACACTTGGGTCATTTTCGTCACTGCCTTCTGGCTTAGTGTTGCTACGGAAGTAAGTTATCAGTGACTTTTGTCCCAGATGCCCAGAGGACCTTGTTCTGCTTTGAGGTTCGGTGTAACTGCGTGCTAGCGGTCGAGCGGACCATCGGGAATATGATGTTCCTGGAGTTGCCCCGAGAGCGACCCCCATCCAGTCCTGCCCAGGCGGCAGGAGCCACACTGCCGGGGTCTATATGTGAGTCCGGTGGAAATAAACTGACAGAAAGATCTTCTAGCTTTGGACACACTCCCTCACCCTCTCCAAACCCACCAGTCCCAGATCCAGTGATCAGAAAAGCTAACCTTGTTAACAAAGAAATATGAAGAACTAGGCAAAAGTTACACTTTTTTTGCTTAAAAAAACCCACACTTCTTTCCAGAAGCCAAACGGTCTGGGCCGGCAGAAGCCCGTCTGCGCGGGGCGTGGCCAGGCAGCGGTTCCGCTTCCGGGGCAGTCGAGCTGTCCCGGCGGCGCTTGCGCGGGAACCCTGTGCGGCGCGGCGCGGCGAGGCGGGCGGCGGCGCGGCGCCGGCGAGGCGGGCGGCGGCGCGGCAGGCGGCCCGCGGCGAGGCGGGCGGCGGCGCGGCGAGGCACCTGCGCGAGAGGCTTTCTGGTAGTTTCCGTCTCGCAGGGCGGACCGGCCGCGGCCACTCTGCCCCGAGGCTCCCCCTCGCTTGGCCGGGAGGCCGGCAGGCAGGCTTCCCGCACCGCGCCCTGCCCGCCCTGCCCTTGCTTTCTTTGGACAAAACACTTGGGAGACGGGGAAGTCCAGAACACTCATCACGAAGGGGGACAGTCTGGAACTTCCGGAGGTTGGGTGGCCCTGGGGGGCCCCGCACCACGAATCTGACGCCGCGGAGCGTGAGGAGAAGGAAACACGGGTTCTCGGCGAAGATAAGCCTCTTGAGCCGGCTTCACGTGGAGCCAAAGCCAAAACACTGGTTTGCAAGCATCTGAAATTCCCTTTTTACTTAAACCAGTCCAGTTGGTTACTTGTCACCCAGAGGATCTCAGTTCTAGCCCAGTGGGCCCTTGCCAGGGCTGGAGATATTGGAGTCAGGTCTTCTGTGACTTGCTGTGTGAAAACCAACCTGCTAGGCCGGGCGCGGTGGCTCACGCCTGTAATCCTAGCACTCTGGGAGGCTGAGGCGGGAGGATTGCTCAAGGTCAGGAGTTCCAGACCAGCCTGAGCAAGAGCGAGACCCCGTCTCTACTAAAAATAGAAATTAATTGGCCAACTAAAAATACATAGAAAAAATTAGCCGGACATGGTGGCGCATGCCTGTAGTCCCAGCTCCTTGGGAGGCTGAGGCAGGAGGATTGCTTGAGCCCAGGAGTTCGAGGTTGCTGTGAGCCAGGCTGACGCCACGGCACTCTAGCCTGGGCAGCACAGTGAGACTGTCTTAAAAAAAACAAACAAACATAAAAACAACCCCAAACCAACCTGCTGGTAAATAAGTCAGGGTGGTGACTTATTTACCACTGGGCACTGAACACCCAGGGGCTTCGCCTCTCTCCTTCCCACTCAAGTGTTCAGCCTGAGGAGCCCGAGGGGGCTGGAAAGGCCATGTCTGGGCTGCTGGCGCCGACGTCTCCCTATGTCCAGACAGCATGGCACCCTGCTTGTGACGTGACGTGCTATTTTTGCAGAAACCAGGCTGTTGCTTAAAAAGTGTCATGAATGATACGCGTCGGGAGTTAGGTGTGGCTGTCATGATGTGTGCTGCTTCAGTGTGGAACTGAGTAAAGTTAAAGCAGAGAAGGAAGAAGCTCTTTAACGACAGAAAAGTTTGCTAATACTTGGGAGATGCCCAGAGAATAAGAAATTCTGAAAGAGGTGGCTTAGAACTCGGGCTTACGTGTAACAAAGACCACATGCAACATGTAGCAAAGAACAATGGCTCCAGGGAAGCAACAAGACAAAGGACCTTGAGTCTGTAGGGTGGCAAATGGGTGGCAGGTCAAGACGAGTGACGCTTGTCCGCAGATGGCCCTGGGGATGCCCTCTCCCGGGCGAAGGGCCTGAAGTCATCTCTGATCAGCCTTCGCCCTTCCTGGCAGAAAGGGGAGGAGAGATGTCTTGTCCAAAAATACAGGACACGAACCCAGCAACTGGGGAAGGGCAGAGAGCGCTCGTGTTCTTCCTACTTGCCTTTATGCTGAAGCAGCGCATTCCAGGCTGGCATGCTCGGCCCCTACGCGTTCAACCCGCCTGCTCCTCCTTCCCTGCCACGCTTTGTCAGCGCCGTGTCCCTCCTAGCACATCCAGGGTATAATGTCATCTTTGCCTGGGGGTGGGAGGTGCAGGCTGGTCATAGGAGGGGAGGTCTTTCTCTTCCTGGGGGTGTCAGGCACTCGAGCCTGGCCCGCATGGACCCCCGGGCGAGCCTGCCCTCTGCATCCACAGAGAAAAGCCTGCCCGTGGGTGACCTGCCACCTGCCACCAGGGTCTTGCCCACGGCCTCGGCATACGGAATGGGCGGCAAACTCGCTGTGGGAGTAGTCATTGCCCGTGAGCCAACACGAATTCCTGAGCTGCAGTTGCCATTTCAATTGTTCACGCCTTCATCACACTCGTCTGGTTGGTCTACGTTCCTCTCACCCCTTAAACTTCAGATGCCTGGTGAGGAGCCTTCTGAGGCATCGATGGGGCCAGGAGTGTGTAGCTGTGTCTAGGAAAAGCCCTGAGTTCGTCCGGGTCGATAGCAGAAAGAGATGGCATATGGTAGAATGCGAGAACCAGAACAGAAGAATCTAAAATAAGTGGCCCAAGGCCAGGGTGAGGTGGCAACTTGGTGCATTTTGGAATTACTAGAATTGGGTAGGGGCTACCACCGGAAGGCAGGGTCCATATAACTCGGACGCCACGTATAGAGGAGGAGTGAAGTTGGGATCCATGCTGTTGGAACACGCAGGAGCAGGACCAGCCTAGCTGGTCACGTCCCTGTGAATGGAGACGGCTTGGGGTGTCCAGGGAGAGACATAGCCTCGGGTCCCACATCCAGACTTTACCGTAGAGCTTGAGGCTTCAGTTCGATTCCCGAACTTCTATGCTGTTTCATCTGAGATGTAGACGTCAAGTGGGATTAGATGCCCGGCACTTTCTGGGGGTGGGAGGAAGCCCTGCGGGAAGCCGAGTGGGGAGCGGCGCGTCCGCGGGGTGCAGGGCTGTGGCGCAGGCCTGGTGCAGCGGGAGGCAGTTCCGACCAAGACGTGTGTGATGCTCAGTGTGGGCGGGTGGCAGAGCCCAGGTCACCCGGAGGGACGGAGTGTCCTACGCGGGCCTGGTGTGGCCTCCCAGCTGTGCTGGCGCGTGCAGATGGCCGCCACAGCTGACCTCTGCTGCGCGTGTGGGTCTGCGCAGATCCTCGAAGCGGCGACTCCACGTGCTGCGGCCTCCCCCTGAGGACTCCAGAGGGCTGCTGGTGGCGTGAGATGCAGCTCCTGCACTGGGGTCCACCCGTCCTCTGACCCTTCTGCTCTCCGTTCAGTTCCCTTCGCCCTCAGCTTGGCTGAGAATTTGTGCTAAGCTGGCGGTGACTCAAACCTTCACACTGAAGGGTTCGAACTCCTAGAGATCGCGTGGCTCTTCACATGTGACTGCTGAGTGCGTGAGGCAGTGACACACGGAGGCATCAAGACCCAGCCAAGTGTGGGTCGCCTGGTTCCGTCCATGTTCTCACCTGTGCCGGTGCAGAGGCGAGCCCAGCCTCCTGCTCAGTGATCTCTGCGACGAGGTGACTCTCAAAGTGACCTGTAGGCGCTCATTAGCATTGGGACAAGGGGACCACTGTCGGTTTTACCTATGGGTCCTGCACCTCTCGGCTCCTGCACCCACGCAGGTCTTCCCACTGGAGACGGTGTCTCATAGACACCTCCCGTACATTTATCGCTTCGAATCTCAAGCTCTTGAGTGTTTGCTCAGATCTGTTTTCTGAAGGGTGCCCTGGTATTCTGAGACTGCCTGCTTCTGAATGGCACTGTGTGTCATGTGTGACCAGCAAAACCCTACGACCCGAGGCCCGCATGAACCTTTTATGACCTCAGTCCATTGGTGCCGGAGTTCCCCGGCTGACAGGGTTGAAGACGGCACCGCACAGGAATAAGAGAAGACAGTTGAAGAGTGGGGTCAGGGGGACTCGAGGTTGCCAGACCAAGACTAATTCCTCACTCGTTCTTATTCATCTCAAGAGCAATAGATCATCATGAATCATATGAGCAAATATGTTCTAAAGATATCCCACAGGCAAACACATTCTAAAGATATCCCACAGGCAAACAGGTTCTAAAGACTTTCCATACAGATTACAGTAACTGGATATATGTCATACAATCAAGCTATAAATATTGCTATTTAGACATCCAGGTACACACTGATCTCAGCAAAGCCATTTCTAGCTTTAAAACTAAATAAGAACACAAATTTAGGATTGTGACCAGGCTAGTTTTCTAGCAGGTGGGACGTTACTTTGCAGTCCTGGAACCAGCTTTCTGCCCCAGGTGAGGTACTGTGCTCAGTGCCTCCTGCCCTTGGCCATCTTCCAAATGGCGAGAACGTTCCGTCTATGCCAGCCGTCTCCCAAAGTCACTCCAACACTTCTAAGTGACCGCAGCGTGTTGGTGAGATGCTTTGCTCTGGGATTCTGGGATTGTGGGATTCTGTGCCCATGGATGGAACGCTGTAGAAGCCCCTGGAGAGTAGCTAGCAGAGACTCTGTAAGCAAGAAAGGCAAACCTGTACCAAGGCTGGGTATCTGTCCCCAGGAGCATGAATAGCTGGCCTTCCTAGCACAGAAGGGGCTCACTGTGGTCAACTTGCTACCAAGTGGCAACTTGGTCTCCTCAAATACTGAGATTGACGTGTTCAGTGTTTGTCTGAGAAATTGGGCATTCAGAGTCTGTAAGAGCTATCTCCATAGCAAGTGGCAGGCCATGTCCTTGGGCACGTGTGTCTTCCATGTCTGCCACCTGGCCACTGACTGCTGACAAAGGCTGGCTGTCCAGTGGCAGTCACCTTGTCTGGTTCTTCGGTGCTTCCTGTGCTCGGTGTTGTCCTGGGTCTCGCCGTGTGCGAGCGCCTGTGTGTCGCTGCGCTCAGACCTTCTCATACTCGGGTCTTTGACTTTGCTCAGCAGCCTGGATGGAAAGGTCTCCAGACGGCGGGGCCACAGGCCACTGCCCAGCATCAGCGCAGAAGCGCATCTGGGGCCGCATGTCCTGCTAAACTTAATTCCTAGTGAAACAGACTGTAGCCAAGGTGCTTTGGAATCGGGAATGTCTTTAGCTCGCATTTGGGATATAACTTGTCTTTCCTACACTCAGGAAAAGTGTCAGTGATGCCAGCAGAGGTTTAAACTGCTGCAGAATGTAGCAGGCTTGTGGTCTAGGAACACACCTGCCTC